AAACAAGCTAAAGTAAATGAACCTATACGTGTGTTCTTTTCCACATTTTGCAGGGACAAACAATATGACTCTATTCGACGATATCATTAAAAACATATCTTAGGATTTACCTTTCATCACCAGAGTGGGAGTGAACCTTTTGCATATGACCTCAATAACAGTGCGCATACAAATGATTCATCTTCTAAACCTTTTCTTTGTTTGATTTTAGCCGGCTGTCTTCAATCTCCCTCATTGAAAAAAAAGAGAAAGCCTGTTGAAAGTCAGAGCAGATCTAGGTCACCATCACTGGCGCAATGGTACTAAAATGCCATCTCTCCACCTTCTGCTTCGCATTTTTAGGTAACAGGGCAACGTAGATGTGCGATGCTTGCGGGTGAATCGTTAAAGAAACGCAGACGGGGTCGTCTACTAACACTGTTCATCATCAGAAGATGAATAAAACTATATGATTAATGTATTATAATAGTGCACTATACTTATTGTCATTTTCACAGTGAAACAAAATTGTGGTACGATAGTTTTTACTCCTAAATTGAGAAAACATAAAGTACAAAATGGACCTCAGACATCCATTTGCTCCGTGGATGTTTTCATATTGATGCACTTCAAGTAAAGCAGCTCACAAATCCCAGTACATCACCATCTCCCTTCGTGTCAGCATAACAGTGTCATCAGCAATCATTATGGTCTGGAAAGAGAGAGACGTCCACACACATATGCTCCGATACGTCCCCAAATGTTTTTGTGTCAGCATACAAAAGGGGAAGACAATAAAGTATTAGCAAAGCCAACGTACTCTTCATCGTGTGAAGGTATGAAGGTATACAGTATGTATTCTGATGCTGCTACTGTTACGTTATTGTGCTGTTCGTCTTTGGACCTTCTAATCCAGCCATGATAACGGCTGTAATCTTTGAACGCAGTCTGTTAGAGTACTTTCCACTCGTTCCTGTGTGCTGCCTGCATGTTAAAAAGGAACCATTTCAAATGCTAAAGTTCCCTTCTGAAGGAACACAAACTCTTTAATAATGTACGTTTCCCACTGCTGCTGCTACTACTACTACTACTCTTTCTACCACTACTACTAAACACAGTGCAGATTGCTTGAGTGTAATAAAAATGACTTCATCAAAAATTGACACTACAAAAAAATAATAATTTTGCTTTGGAAATATAATGATCTTTAAAGGCCAAATTATCTAGTATACAAGAGAGAGGATTTTCTCATGCTACTTGAGACAAGCGAGGACATGCATATGTCTTCTGCAATTTCCTTTCATTCAATTCAGTTTCATCCTGGATTTTTTTTATTGTACTCTAAATATATGTTATTCTGTTGATAGTTTCTTTATGTTGTTCTTGTCACCAGATGTTTTTTACTTTTCTTTTCCTCCTTTTCTATTTGTTCTCACTTTTTCTCATTCTCTCCCTCCCATTTGCTACTCCCCCCTTGACCGCCCCCCCCTCCCACACACACACACACACTCTCTTTTCCCACTGCCCCACGTCGCTCATCCAACCCTCATCCAACCCATTTCTCCAACATTCTGTCTTTTCCCCCTCTCTCTGACCCCCCTGTACCCACGCCTCCTCCCACCCCCTCCCCTCCCTGTGGCTCATGTTGGTAAAAATATCTGCAGGCAGCAGGAGCAGAGGCATGCCTGACTCTCCCCCCCCTCTCTCTCTCTCTCTCTCTGTATCTCAGACATCCCACCCATGTGATCTCACAGGCTGCCTTTGCTTTGCTCCAGTCTGGCTCCTGCCTTTCAGCCGGCTGCAGCTAATGAGCCTTTGTGTGGCCAGGGAGAGAGAGAGAGAGAGAGAGAGAGAGAGAGAGAGAGAGAGGGTGAGGGAGAGGGTGAGGGAGGGGGGGGGGGGGGGGGGGGGGGGACCGGGAGGTAAAGGAAGTTAAAATGGTGTCTTGCAACAATAAAGCATATGGGACCGGCATTGCCGTAGAGTCCGGAAAATTACAAGTGTGTCGCGCCCTCCTGCTATCTTTTTTCTCTATCCAGAGAAGCTCAGGGGCCGCTGCAAGTCAGTGGACCGAAACGAGATGGGAACTCAGCGGCTTTTCACCTTTTTCCGTTGAACAGCCAGATTGGTGATTGTGCGTGGCTGAGCTGCGCAGTGAGAAGAGGTGAAAGGAGTCTCAGTCTGCCAGAGGATACAGGTCAGTTGTTCCTGTCAGGGCCCGGCACGCACGGAGCAAGTGTAACATGCTCATCGGAAGACTGATGTGTCACGACTTGCACCAGACGCCGGCGGCTTGTTAGCATCACTTGGGACGAGCGTTCTGAGCCTTGAGTTGTCACATCGGTTTTGTTGTGACTGTGGGAAAATTGTGAATGACGAAGGGTGTGGGTGGGGGGGTGGAAAGGGGGGGTGGGGGGTGTAATTGCATTCAGATTGCAAGTGTGCCACAGTGCCCAGAGCGCTGTTGATTAAGGACAGGAGTTGGTTTCCACAGTTGATGTGTGTGTGTGCACACAGGGAGGGGCTTTCCAAGCTGGCTTTTGCTGCATTATTTTCTCTGGGATTTTCTCCCTCGCACCAGCCGTAGTGCGTGCGGCCCAGCCATGCTTGGTGGGAAGGCAACAGAGAAGACAAAGAAAAGAGCTCTTAGAGAAACTGTTTTTTTATTTAGCCTTGATGAAATAAAGGGGTTCAGACGGATCAGCCTCAGCTCTGCGGTTTATGATGTCATGCCCGTACAGTGTCAAGATTTTAACACAGGATGCAAATGAATTAGTAATGAGTCAATCTAAGCACGCAGCTATAATGCATTTACATACAGTGTGAACTAACGTTGGTGTTTTAATAGGAAGGACCCGTATACACGCCATGTAATGCTGAATACGCTGTCATACGGGAAGGCAAGAGTTGTGAGGCTACGTAACAATCTCCATGGAAACCGCCTTTGGTAGCAAAGCCCAGGAAAGCATCAGCTGAGGGGCAGGCATAGAAAAAGGTTTGCAACAATTGTATTTAATTAGGGACCCTCGGAAGGGAAATGGACTAAAATTACACATTTCTGCTGGAAATTTCCACTACACTAACTACAATACTTAAACATTCCTGCTCTGATGTTAAATTATCAGCTTCAGTATTAGTTTATTAATAATTTATCCTCTTTCGTTTTCAGGTTTGGGCTTTGGATAAAATATATCTGGTATTAATACTAGTTCAATTTTTTCTTCAGCTCTGTCTTTAAGAAAACCCTTTCTGTGAGGGCTCTCTGACTGACTCCATCCCTCCTCCACTTCCTCCCAAATGCAGGACGCCTCACATTCTTTAGTTGAAGGTAGAATTGTTTACTCTGGAGGTCCTCCAAATGCCGGCGGTGCCGTGTCACTGCGCTGTGCAAGAGCAGCCACCTGGGAACAATGACCCCCTTGCTGGCAGCGCTCGTCCTCTCTGGGTTGCACCTCTTTCTCCCCGGCGGCATTTGCATCTGCAATGACTCGATATCAGAGCCCAGATGAAGCACTGTGGCTGTCTGTGAACGGAACCCCCCCCCCACAAGCTGCTCTGGGAAATAGAATGAGTGGGACTGGGAGAAGATGCGTGCAGCCTTTAGATAATTCAGTTTCCAGGAGAGAAAGCAGTTTGGGGGGGCTGCCAGTCTTAGCTATCCTCGCCTTGACTCAGCAGCATAGTTGTGTTATTGGCTTTATTTTGAAATGTGGGGTGAAGTTCTAGCTGCTGCTCTGCAATAAATAAATTAAATGCATTAAAGGAATGCAATTTCAGAAGGGACTGCATTATAATTTGGGATAAAATGCATCCTGAAATATTACAGCCATTAGACATTGACAAATAAAGATATTTGTAGGGGAAAAGCTGTTATCAAAAAAACAATATGTTTTGACAGTGACAATGCAGTAGCTCCAGATCAATTGAGATTTGTTTCAGTGTAGTTGACTGATGAGCCTGGTCTAATTGCATCATCAGTCAGAGGGAGTTAATGGCCCCTCTCAATTGACACTGAAGTAGTTTTTAACACTTCTGTTTCAACAGCCTCTGTATGAAGTGCTGCCACAAACATTTAGCTGCACCAACACATCCACACAAAGATAGTTTTGTTAATTTAGTGTTTTTAGAAACTCAGCATAACATGTCTGTTCCTGATTTAACAGTAGATATAGTGTTACAGATACTGTTATTGTTTCTCTATTTAATGACAGCTGAAGCAGGGATAATATTGTCTGTTTTTTGCTTTCATTATTTTGTCATTTATTACTTTGTTACTGATTACTTAGCAAATATGAGGCAGTCATAGTACAGTTATTTTTCTGCTCTAATGTGACTGTAACTGCATTAACTGCTGTAACCGGAGGCCTTTTCTTTTTTCAGTAGAAAGCATCTGACTTAACAACAGTTTCACCAATTCCTCCTCCAGCACTGCATGATGATACAAGTGCACATGACTCGGTGTTGTGCAGATTGTTTCAACGGTTCAATAGTTTCACAATGTGCATCAACAAGTGCACGTCAGCATGCGTATGCACCTGTATAAATGAAAATAAACATCACAATTATACTACTAATGCACGGTGGAAAATGTTTTTCTGCAAGATGCAACGTCACATTTTAAGCCTGCTTTATTTTTATAAAATCAGCAACTAGATGAACATAGTCACATAATATTCTCTATATATGTATGTTGTACATCATCTTAATGAGATTGGTACCAGTGCAAAGCCAGTCGGACCGGTATTTTTTTTTCTTTTTCTCCAGCCTCTAAATCAAAGACAGGGGAATGAACTTAGTCAGACGTAGTATGTAATTAGAAGCGTTCTCCATCCATCTCAGCTGCTTTATGCCGAGGTGATCATTCGCTTAGGGAACTCGCTTTCGTACGTGTGTGTGTGTGTTTGTGAGGAGGAGAAAGGGGGAGTCAGGGTCTCATTGCTAATTGACAGTGTTGAGGATTATGAAAGCCCTTAACTGGATATTAAATAATGTGTGGCCCGTCTGCTGTCTTTGGGTTTCAGGTGCCATGAGCGGAATACTGAAGAGGAAATTTGAGGAGGTGGAAGCCTCCTCCTCCCCGTGCTCCTCCTTGCGGGAGTCTGATGACGAGGTCTCCTGCAGTGAGAGTGGGGATAGCGGTGACAGTGTCAACCCATCTGCCTCAGGCCCTTTCACCCGTGAGTGCCTGTATTCTTTTTGTTTTTGTTTTTACTCATACATTGAGCTGGCGGCTGCCATTGACAGTAAGATTAATATTGTCATTTGATCCCAAGGTGAAAAATGCCAGCGGACTGAAAGGGTTTTTCTTTCTAATCAAAAAAGGAAAAACACTCAGACGCAACCTGATTGTGTGGCTCTCAATCGATATAGGATACAGTTCAGACAAATCAAATCTGCATGTCTGTGTATCAGGGAGCGTGATAATAATTCACAGCAGCCGAGCGTAGAGGAGGCTGAGTGGTCCGGTGCTGTAATAGAAGGGAAGGCGACACTGGCAGCCTCCCTCATTAGGGAACAGATTCAGTGCACAGGCTCAGATGAATGAGCTGATGCAGTCTCAAGCTGTGTGTGTGCAGCACTGGTGGTAATGTAGATCTAGATGCCCCGCTTTCTAAGAACACCATCAGTTTCATCAGGGATCCGTCTGCCAATTATTTGCTTTTCACTAATCAATTGTTTTGTCTGTAAGATGCATTTTGTTTTATTCTGAGGCTTAAGGTGACGACTGGAAATCTACCGTTTCGACCATCCAACTAATAAATCCTCAAAATGATGAGAGGAAAGCAGCAAACATTATTTCGGTTTATATAGGTTGGGACTTTGTTTTAAAAATGACTATTTATTCACAACTAACATTTTCTGTCAATTGACAGACAATTGTTTTGGATGCAGATCTGCAATGCTTGTTATGGTTTACTAAGATATTCACAGTTAGGATTACGGGAAGTTATTTTTCTCCTTTTAAATGTGTGCAGACATGCAGTTGAGTGACAGCCCTTCCCCCCCGTAGCGAGACGTATGTAAAAATGAGAAATGACATGTACGTATACGGTGATGGACCGTCATTGTGGAGGGATGAGACAGTTGAATCCAAAGTGGTTTTACAATGTGTTGTGTTTGAGAGAGGAGGACAAACACCCGTGTTGTTGTGTTTGTCTAGAGAACGAAAGTCTTTAAGGGGAAAAGAAACAACAATACCTTTAAGTTGTTGCTTTGTTTCACCCATTGGTTAATGTAGACATTAGGGAAGACATTGGATTATAAAGAAAGTAACACCTGCTAACGGTTTTTACACCTAAAAAAATGTTGTCATTGTTCTTTGTTAGATAATAAAACCCGGCTCTGCTCCGTCTCACAGCTCTACATCTGCAATGAAATGCATTGTGCCCCTTGCGTAGGACTGCTGTTGGAACCAGATGGTTTCTATTTGTCCTGTCCGCTGGGAACACTGCCTCTGAGAACCAGCAGTCTTCATCTCTGGGGCAGGCGGGGGATTATTTATGCTGCACCATTGCCCTCCTCTCTGCCTGTCCCCCTCGTAGTGCTGTCCTTAAAAAGGACTTCCAGGCGGAAGCTTGCGGATCTGATGAAATCCTTCCCTATAGCTGCACTAAGATATGTAGAAGCTCGCCGGAATGACAGCACAGAGTAGTCATATCTGAAAGGAACTTTCAGCATGTCTGTTCTGCTGCACCATGAAACACAGATGAAACGCTGCATTGATGTGCAGTGTGGCGCTTTAGTTCTTCCCACAGTGGATTAATAAATTGTCAGAAACAGTTTACAACCCAGATGAAAAGTCTTTTTTTTTTCTTCCTTTGTAGCTGACTCGATATTGAAGAGAGAGAAGCGCATGCGGACAAGGAGGGTGCACTTTGAGAAGGTGACCGTGTACTACTTCAGCCGGCGGCAGGGCTTCACCAGCGTGCCCAGCCAGGGAGGCAGCACGCTGGGAATGTCCAACAGGCACAGCTGGATCAGGCAGTACTCCCTCGGGGAATTCGCCGTGGAGCAGGAGAGGATTCACAGGGACATGCTCAGGGATCACCTGAAGGAGGAGAAACTCAATTCTATCAAACTCAAGGTAAATGCTTGGTAATCGCTATCAGAGTGATTAATACTGACAAACGTTTCTAAAGAAAGAATTTTTTTAAGCAGAGAAGAGATTTTCTCTCACAATTCTAATAAGGCGTGGATGTGATTCCTCTCGGTTTCAGCTGACTAAGAACGGCACGGTGGAGTCCGACGAGGCCAACGCGCTCACGGCGGAAGACATCTCCGACGACGACATCGATCTGGACAACACAGAGGTGGACGAGTACTTCTTCCTGCAGCCACTCACCACTAAGAAGCGGCGAGCGCTGTTGCGCTCCTCCGGGGTAAAGAAGATTGACGTGGAGGAGAAACATGAGCTGCGGGCCATCCGGATGTCCAGGGAGGACTGCGGCTGTGACTGCAGGGTCTTCTGCGACCCGGAGACGTGCGCCTGCAGCATCGCAGGGATCAAATGCCAGGTAAATTAGGTTTCATCCTCGCCCCACTGTAAAAGAGAAGGTGGCACGATGTTTGATACCATCATGTCCTCTTCGAGGTAAAGTGAAATGAAAGGGACAGTAAATGTTGCTTCTTTTCCCCCTCAGGTGGACCGGATGTCATTTCCGTGCGGCTGCACAAAAGAGGGCTGCACCAATTCCACTGGGAGAGTGGAGTTTAATCCCATCCGCGTTCGGACCCATTTCTTGCACACCATAATGAAGCTGGAGCTGGAGAAGAGCCGTGAGCAGCAGCAGGCGCCCCCCACCAACGGTTACCATGGCGAAACCAACGACCTGGGAGGCGGTAACCCCCTCGCCCAGTCGCAGCACAGGTTGGAGTACTCGCTGTCAGATGCCGTTCCACAGACCGCCAGCGTGCACCTGCAGGCTGCGGACGAGATGGAGGGGCCGATGGACGACGACGAGGAAGAGGAGGAGGATGAAGAAGACGACGACGATGACGAGGAGGAGGAAGAGGAAGAGGAGAACGAAGACGATGAGGAGGAGGACAGTAGTTCTGTCCTTTCTGATTCCAGCACCCAAAGCTTAGCCAACAGCGACTCTGAGGATGAGGATGATGAAGACGAAGAGAAGTCAAAGAGCTCCCAGCGGGACGTAGCGGCCCCGCCGGTCTCTCACGCTGACGTCGTGCCCTTGTCCTCTGTGTTGTGTTACAGCAACGTGGCTCACGAGAACCACATGAACGGAAACGCTTACTTAATGAACTCCCCTTCAGCCGGGTACCATCAGCTGGGGAGCTCCAGCGCCGTCTCCGGCCGACCCAGTGAACCCAACGGGGAGGCCTCAGCATTCCAAGATCCAGTCACCACTCACAGCGCCGCCGCCGCCCGAGAACCGCCCGACATACCCGCCGAGCAGCACACGGACTACTCCGAGCACACCGAGGAACAACGCGCGGCTAATCGCCATCTCACGCCGCCCGACGGAGCTCCCGCCGCCGCCGCCCCCTCCACCCGCTGCGCGTCCGATCAGGAGAAGGAGGCGTTTTCCAGAGCTGCTTCCGCGCAGCAGCCGGCCTCCCAGAACGAGACACAGTTCAAAAACTACTCGAACAACAGCACGCGGCTTTGTAGGGCGGCTGAACAGCCACGGCAGGAGCCCGTCGCCAACGGCACTTCTGACCTGAGCTTACTAGGAAACGACACTAAGAGCCTCCCGCTACCCGACCCTTGCCCCGAGGTCACAGCCATTTAGTGGGCATCACCTTTTGAAGGGTTCTTTCATCGTCACGTCCTCGCTCGAGCCTGACCTAGTGGTATTTTTAATCCGACCATAGCAATTTGCAGCACTAGCGAGCATTTTCATCTGTATCTATAAAGCCATAGGATCTTGGTGAAAATATTCTATTATTTGTTCCTCCGCTACAGCGTGTACTGAACTGCAAGATCGAACAGATTTCTTTTTAAACATCAGTCCTGTCATGCTGTGCAATGTATCTTGTAATTTCAGATGTAAAGTTCTAGATTTGAGGAGATATTGTACTGTAGATGGAGCTTTTATATGTCTACTGTATTCGTCTAAAAGGTTTATTGTCAATTTATTTATTGTTTCTGAATCATGTGTACCCTTAATGTAAATGTTTTGATAACAATATGCATGCTGTTTTGGGAATCTCAGTGACATTTAGGAAAAAAGAAAATGCCATTGTTTTATAGAAAAATGTGTTGTGTACATAATGTACATTTTACCTCTTTTTTGTTTCTATGGTTTTTAAAAGCATGAAAAGCCTGAATTCTTATTTTGATGTTTGGAATACAATATCTAAAGCATAAAATGTCAAGAAATCAATCCACCGCCTGTTGGACTTATGTGTGGGGGTCCAGTGGCATGCATTTGGTTTGAACTAATTGATACTGTATTTGAACAATGGAAAGAATAAGGCCCCTCACTTGTGTTTATTTTGTCTCCACTGTTCACTCCTTAAAAAATGATTTGCAGGTCCTGCTACAAATACAACTGAATTCTTTGAGTTCCATTGAAACAGGGATATTAATAAAGTAGCACTTTGACACAAGATCTTCATTAAAGTGGAAAGGAACTTCTTTAATGTGATGGCACTTGGTATTGTAATTAAAGCACCATTAGTTTGAAAATGTGCAGACAGGGGAAGCTAGTGTTCAAGGTCGACAATCAACACTCATTAATAAACATGATTCACATGAGTAATTAACAGCTACAGAATGACTCCTGATTCTCACGAGTCACGGATGAGGACTTGACAGTCTGATGTGAGAAAAATGTTTACCAAAAATCTATGAACAACCTTTTACGAGATCTTTAAGCAGTCACAGGCGAGGAGGGCGACTCAACAATTGGGGGTTTGCAATAACGTAGCGAATAGTGAAATATGCTGCTGAAGTTCTTTCCCCCGAGCTCTCTGTTCCTGCATGAACACAGATATTTGTCCCTCTTCCAAGCTTGCAAATATCTTGCCCATACTTTATAATTAGAAAGATTGATGCCAGAGTTCTGATGGTTATGTTTGACTGTCGAGTAGCTGGGACCTCTCATGCTACTGCATGATTCAGAAGAAATATTCACACTGCTTTCAGGCAATCAGTGGCATCAACGTAGCCGGTAGCTCAGATCAATCGTGCCAAAGCGTACATTGTGAGATGTATGGATACGTGACCCTGCATCCATTCAAGACTCCTGTGTTGGCTTTTTGTTTTCCAGTATTTAATATGAATGATATATTGAAATGTGTATTTATTGTGGTTTACTATGAAGTCTGTATTGAGTAAATTGTTACATGCTGGTTGTGAGTTGTAAAGCTTCATGTGCCTAATTTATTCATTTCTATTTCTAATTCTGTAAAATGCAAACGTTTGCACAAAATGGTAAAAATGTTTTCAATGTATTTGGTTTTCCAACTGTAGATAGAGCAAGTCTGATTTTCTGTTTCATTTTTAACATGGTTTTGAAATACATTTGATTAAAACGACGAGCAGTCATTTTTCCGTTCAGTTATTTCTTAGTGCAAAGCGCCCTCTGCAGATCACAGGCAGAAATGAGACAAATTAGCTTTCAAAACTCCCCAACTCAGTTTATTGACCTGAAAATGACTTAATAGCAAGACAAAAATAGACACCTAGCATGTGAACACCAGCGCCTGCACTAGAGATTCATTAGTGGACTCCGGGTTAGATGTAGAGGAAGAGTTTCAGACCTTTGCTCAACAAATAGAATTCGTTAGTTGAATTCATTTCACATTAAAAAGTCCCCTTGTGATGAACACCAAAGAATAAAATAAACATAAAAAACAGATAAACAATGCCGCTAATTAAAAGACAATAATTCATATTGAAAATCACTCATGAAGTTTGACATGTAAGTTGTTAGTAACGCACTCTAGGTCAAATAAAAATGCATTTCAATCATCAACAATAACCTACATTTCCCTTTTCTTGAGAGCCCTTGGAATGAACAGCTGAAGTACAAACCGTTTATATATTTGTGTTTAAGGAGTCCAAACTGGTACACAAATGATCATTCTTCATATGTCTACAATAATTTGACAGCGTATCAAGTACACCTTGATAAAACTACTACATTCTTAATTAAAGTCTCGACGTTAATGCTACAGGTAGGTGTATTTTTTACTCTTACCGAGTATAAATGTGTTGGGCATATTAGAAACACATCAAAATATTCTAACAAATGATTTAAGGGATGACTAACAGTGGGATTATTTTAGACTGCATTGATAATAGCTAATTCTATAGACATTATGAAATCTATTTCCTGCAAATGTTTCTTAATCAAAAGCCAATTTAATCAGTCTATTCACTTTGATCCTAATTTGAAGATGCCTTGATAAAAATACCGTAGAAGCTTCTATTCTACATCAACAGGAAACTGCATCAATCCTCTCGTGCCCCCCAGCCAGCACTCCCTCCACCCAGTATAAAATTACATTTAAGGCACTGGATGATTGCAAATCAGGTTTTGCATTGTTTTAAAAGTTCTTATAAAAAGGGGACAATCCGCCCCACATTTCAGTCATTTTGACGCATGACATTTGGGATTTTTCTGTAAAAAGATAACGCCAAAATTTTGTTTTAGATATTGTGTGTCTTACTGGAAAATATTCAATGTTAACTTTATAAACCCAATACTGCACATGAGAGGTGAAAAGAGTAGTGAATACAAAACAAAAGGGCACTTGTGCATCTTCATCCTTTCCAAAAAAAACAAAAAAAAACGCAGTTCCCCGTCTGATTTGGAGCATTAGTTCGATGCTTCCTTCCAGCTGTGGTTTCTCCCAAAGTCAAAATTCCCCAGGAGCAGTACAGTTCTTCTACATATAAAAATAAATACTAAGTGTCATCACGCTGCACGTTAGCTCCATACAGTGTGGTGTACCTGTGTCGTCCTGTGCATAGAGCCGCTACAAGTGGTAGCTTTCACACTCAGACGAAGCTCCAGAGTTGGTGTCTGTCTGAGGGGTTGCAGAGGGCCAGAGAAGGGTGCTCATGGCTGGCAGTCAGACACATGTTCCATTCTGGCAAGTAGAATAACTGGTTCTATGTGAGGAGAAGACCAAACGGTTATTTCCTATACCATTTTAAACCAAAGTGTGTGAAACTACAAATCCGCAGCGCAGGAAACTCACCTCCTTCAGTTCCCATTTCTGCTCGGCTCCTACAGATGTGCTGCCGCCTTTGTACTGGCATTCCTCCATCTTCACCGTCCCCTCCGCCCCGTGTAAACACAGCTCCTTCTGCATGTTGTGTCTGATGTCGTGATGTGTGGAGAACTCAAAATACTACGGCAGAGAAAACATAAAAATGACAACAACCTCCGTAGTTAAATTGAATTACATTTCACAGATGCATCGGTCAGAGATTGGAGGGTAAATTGTCCGACTGACCTGGTTTCCTCCGAGTCCGTGACACGGATAAATGATCAGCGGTTTCCCACCCTCGATGTTCTCTCCGACGTCCAGGCATGCGTCTTTGCCGACATTTTTCACCTACAGGGGCGGAGAAGCGGAGGGGAGAGCGGTGGGAGGAAACGAAATGAAAAACTAACATCCAATGCAAGCTGTTCAAACAACTCCAGCCTCTGGAGTGCTTTCAGTGGTGTCAAATTGGAACTGCTCAGTACCCTCCGGAGATCCCAAGTGGAAACCCACAGCGGCGAGACAGAGCTCTGAGGTTTGGTAAGAAGAGAGTTGCGTGATCTTACCGAGCCAAAGCGGAGTGGGTTGAGATCAGGCATAAAGACTTCTGGATAAACGTTCTTCAAATACCACGAGAAGCTCTTGCACTGCAGCCGCGCACGGAGGTCCAAGCGCTTAGAGATCTCTCCGAAGGCCCTCTGTTAAAAAACAACGGGATCTTGAGCACAACGACACACTGCAGGCATGCTGGACAGTAACACGGCTAACTACAAAGCAACAACAGCAATCTAGACTTCATACGGTGACCTATTTTGAGTTCTGATGAAATATTTCAAGAATAGAATGAGATCACTTTTCAGATCAATTGGAAGGGCTTCGAATCTTTAAGATTGTCGTCCACACAGAAATTAGGCCTTCTGATGAGATCAAAGTGTGATCAAAGACAACAAAAGTATCAGAAACAAGACTTTCAGCAATAAAATGCCGTGTAAATTACTACTAGGTAAACAACACTAAGAGCTTACAGACGCAATAGTGTTTGGCCAAGGTCACTTTCGGAGTTTAGCAACTTGCCATTTGCTAATTTGCCACTGCACTCGAAATACAATAAAGCTAAAAAATGTCACAGTGGCCCTTGTGGAAGTTACACTGAGCAGTCATCCATTTGGAGAAATGTAACATATGATGCACTGCCTTCTTGAACAAAGTAATAACAGTCACGTTTTTTATCAGCGTACCTTTCAAATGGAAGCTTAGTGACAATTTTAAAAGGGTTTGTAATGCTCTTGAAGAAATGAGAGCACTTACTACAGCGATGCTCACACTGGTGCACAGTGATAACTACTACACTGGATACTTTAAAGACGCCTTGTCTGTTTAAATCAGCAGGAGAGGGCTTGCCTGCTCTGTGAGCTACTACCCTGAGGGAACCATTTATGGCACCTCCGGGACCACATGTTGGGAAACATTGCGAGCTTCAGTCATCTAACAGAAAAAAAGCTCCTCTGTCTGTTAACAGCTTCTAGCCCCTAATTGTTGATCTAATTCTCTCTTCTCATTTGCCTTACATTGCTACTGTAAGAATCAATAATTTGATTCTTTCTTACTTCTTCACGTACTTCTATGTCCTGAACATTATGTTCAAGGAAACACTAATTAAGACGACACTTTTATCAGGTAAAACTTTTACTTTGCCCCCCTTGTTAAAGCAACCTTACAAAACAGATCGAAAATCTCAGTGAAATTATCCTGGTAAAAAAAATAATCATCCAACTTAATGCTGCTCATTCACAGACATGAGTTGTATTTGTGTGTCCATGTGTGTGTGTGTGAGGGGAGGTTGTTGCACTACGTACATCTTTGGCCATCTGTGCAGCCTGGTGGTTACGACGGTAAAAAATCTCCTTGAAGTCGTCCATCCATACCTCGGCCAGTCGAACCTGGTTACGAGCAATTACTTGCGTGCCCTTGGGAAAGGTGTGGGGGCTCTTAGTGCGGAAAACATGGCCGACAATAGAGCAGGGAATGATCTCCAGCTGTCCGCCACACTGCCAGACCTGCAGGTTAATGGGAGACAGCACAAACAGACGCACAATGACGGGCGGTTGGAAACACCTACACGGCTGTCTGCAGGGTGGCAAGAGGAGAGACACCTACCCTAAAGGACATTTCAATATTCTCACCACCCCAGATTTCCATTTCTTCATCATAGCTTCCAATGTGGTAGAAATATTCTTTTGAGATGGAGAAGAGGCCACCAGCGAAGGTGGGGGTCCTACGGAGAGGAATCCGTTGATGTTTTTAATGATTTCAAACAAACCAATTTGAATTTATATCCAGTTTTCCTTCTATATCTGTGTAAATGTTTTTACTTACTTGATGGGGAATGTTTCATCTTTCCTCCTTTGTTTCTCGTGATCCGGTAGACTCTCCCAGCCAAAGGACAAGGCCCAGTCAAAGTTTCCCCGGTTGTGGTTCTGGCCGTACGGCGACGGTTTTGTAAACTCAAAAGTATTGAGGTCAATGGTGGTTATGTCAGGACTCACTACTGCGGTGTAGTCCTCCGCTATCCTCGCCAGAAGGGGCTCCAGCCATCCATTGAAGCATTCACCTGTTAACACGCGCAAATCAGACAGACGGCGATCAGTAAAGCCCCTGGAACGTCGAGGCAGCGCGGCCGCGCCGAGGTGGCTGAGCCGTGGGTGTGTACGTCAGGGCGTGGAACTGGTTTTTCTCTGTGGTTTACGCAAGGAGTGTTGACTAACAGTGGGCGTCCAGAAAGGTGAGGGTTTCACCGGTGGCCACGGAGGCTCCCAGCAACCGGGCGGTGATGAGGCCCGTTCTCTCTCGCTGGCGGACCACTCGAACAATGTTCAGCTGCTTCAAATACTCATCCAGCCTGTCCTTCAGCGCATCTGAAAGTTAGAGAAGAACGTTATGAAAAGCACAAACAAATAATACCAGTGATTCTTGCATACGGTCTTCTATGTAAAAATGGCATTTTCGTTTCCTTCCTACACAAGACCCGCTTAACAGTTAAGGGAGACCCATCTCTAAGCACAACCTCTGTTAATTCCTCTCAGGAAAGTATTCACCAGCAGCCCCCCGGCTTCCTGTTGTAACCCAGTTCACGGGCCACAAAGGGAGCAGGAAGCTACTCTCCGAATGTTTTGTGGCTCACCAAAGAGCTGCCCACCCAACAAGCCGCATGAAACCAAAGACCCCACAAGAGTGCAGAGCGGTTCCTGAAGGGGCCCCATTGAATTTTTTTTTTTTTACCATCCACACTGGCGTCGTCCACCAGGATGATCTCCTTGAGGAGAATGGCCGGGGAGGTGTGGAGGACGCTGTACACCGTCCTCAGCAGGGTGCTCCAGCCCTCGTTGTGGAACACGATTATAACGCTGGTGGTCGGCAGGGAGGGGCATCGCTTGAAGGTTTGCTCGATACATCTGCAGCAGGGAGGAGAAAGAGCACAAAGATCTGACTGTCCCGCGGCACAATAGTGTAGTTATTACATCTGCAGACTGTCCCCTGTGGGGTGTCCCTTTCGGCGGCGACACCGCGTGTGTGGCAGCCTTAGAACTACCTGCCATATCGCAGCGGGGGAGACTTTGTAGTTTGCCACGAAAGATGGGCAATACGTGGACGGGCTTTATGTGGGTGTCACGTGCCAACTGTCTCCTGACATGTTCCTGGACCGACATGCACTTTGGTGTGATGTAATTTGCCAAACACAACAGTGCTTCTTTCCAAAAACAGTAACCGGGCATGGATGCTGAAACAAAGTCCCAGTCAGAACAATCACTGCTGTGGTTACCCCCCCTGGTGCAAGAAGCAAATCAGATGGAAATGTTTGGGTTGGGTCCAACACTGATCTGGTGCTCTTTTATCAGTTTAAATGATATTTAAATCCACAGAGTAGTAAATGGGGAAAGATGAACACCCACTAGGTGGTTCCAAAAGATAATCATGTGTTAATGCTAATCAAATGTATTCAACTATGTTCAACAACACAATGATCACCTTTGTGCACATTTAGAGAGTAAAAATAGGTAAACATGGGGGGCTTTGCACAGTTTTTATCAAAAAAGTGTAAGGATTGTAAAAATCGGCATACTCTGGGGGTCTGGTGTCCGGTCCGAGGTCTCTGCTCAAGGAGATGCGGTCGCTGGCATACAGGTTAAAGCAGTGTTTCTCTTCCCCCCGGTCCTTCTCCTTCTGCTCCTCCGGGTTCAGCGAATCTGTGTGGAAAGGCTTTCCGGCTGCTCCGGGGGCACTGGGGCTCTGAGGCGGCCGCTCCAGAGCTGGTCGGAGCTCGGCGGCCGTGTAGCGGCCCGGCAGACAAGACACACCGTCTCCGCCGTCCGGCTGGCGCACGGGGGCCCCGATCTGCATCTTCGGCATCACGTCCCTGAAGTTATTGACGGCTCCCATCACCATGCCCAGCACGGCGTCCCGCTTCACCGCCATCTCCTTCAGCCACGGGTCCTCCTGTTGGCTCTGGCTCCCAACTTCCCATTGTATGAGGAACACGAAGGTGACGAAGACCAGAGCCACTACGGCCAGTTTGACGGGGTGCAATCGCCTTCGGAGGACCCTACGGAGATGGATCATTGTTCTCGGACGGAGAGCAGGCTGCTTACTGACGTTCAGCTGTAAATCGATACATGTTTTCAGATGTTGAGTGATGATTAACCAGCGTTAATGTAACTGTCAAATCCAAGACACGGTCAGACAAATTCAACATTCTCTGTATAAATACATAACAGCTTAGTGGCTGCATCACGGAGCTGTGTTACTTGGAACTCTGTAATAAAACAAAGTACATAGCAGTTCATGTTGAAGCTAGAAGAAGCACGCTTGAAAAAAAATATGAACCAGTCACAAGATTCGATCGTCTTTTGTGACCCTTTCTTTTTTTTTTTTTTTGAAAATCCCCACTTACCATGAGACGCTGAGACTTCAGTTGGGAAAGACCTTTAAAGCGTTCTTGACAACCAATGGCATCCTGCTTCGACTGGAGATCTTCTGTTAGTCGCTTGTACTCCAAAGGAACATTTCGCGGAGGAAGAGAAACAAACAGGAGTCGCTCTGAGATCGGCTTTCACAGAACTTCCGTCTCGCTGGATCCAGGTGCGCTCTTCTCAGGTAGAGGGAGGAGACGCGCCGGCGCGCCTGCGCAAAGAGAACCTCTGCGTGTCACAATCCATACCTGGGACACATTTGAGAAACCACGAAAAGATATCCGTCAAAAATCCCCAAAAAGTTTAGCGATTGTTATTCTCGAATCCAGAGAAGTATTTGAAAAACGTTTTTTTGTTTCTCAAAAGGAGAAACCTCGTTTTAAATACTACCGCGATGAAGCTAAAGAAAACTGAAGCGCTCTGCTGCTCGGTTTGACTTCGGGGATATTGCAGACGGAGGTCTCCACGGAGCTCTTCAGATTCAATAATGGTGCCATTAATAGGATTTGTTCAACTGGTCATTCACTGGGACAGTTGCTGGGTTACAAATAACGTAGGAACGCGCTGTAACAACCTCCCCCCCAAACACACACACACACACACACACGCACACACACACACAAACACACACAGCTCACCGCATCCAGTCGGGTTGTGAGAGAACACGTCGTCTTGCACACAGATTCAATACGAACGCGGACACGAACCTGGCGCAGCGCGCACCGGGGGAAACTCAAGCGTCCTTTCTCACGTGCATTTTTCTAATCACGTCTGAGCCTGCGTGGTGAAAAGTTGGCAAAGATGACACTCACGCGCACGGATTGTGGTTTGATCTAATCCGTTCCCCCTCCCCGGTTGGTCTTCATAAAGAGTCGAATGCCTGAGTGAGTAAAGACGCGGATACCAGCAGCAGGGAGTCTGATCAGAGCGCAGTTTGAGTCCTTTCTGCCTTTGACTCGCACGGTGACTCGATCTGCAGTGACCGTGTTCCCACTTCCCTTCCACGGCGGCTTCCACTTTATTATGTCCACTAAAATGTCCACTGTGTGTTCTGCTTTGCGTCTGCAGTCACGCTTGTTAATGTTTGAATATTTGGCATTTGTCAAATTGTCTCTTTTTTCAGCTCAATAAAAAAATACAATCATAGCGGAATATATTTTATTTGATATGAAATACAAGCTTTACACTATAATTATTTATCAACACACTAGTTGATATTCATTTTCTATAAATGTACTGTAGGTCATTTTCACAGACAATGTACATGGGGATTTTAGCAAATGAAAACTGATTATTAATTTAGTAAAAAAATACACTTCCTTACAAGCCATTTGGGTATTTGGTTTTAATTCCTTGAACTCCACTGCATTGTTTTCCCTCAGGATTGCCACAACCCAACAATTCATTTATTCAATGTTTTTAAGGAAGTTTTCTTCAAAAGAAACACCACAAATAACAACCCACTGAATGTATCGCGACACATAAAAGCTAAAGCTAAACAATAAAAGAGGACTTCAATCAAAGTAACACATTTATTTATTACAGAAGCATTGACCTCATCTATTTCTCTTTCCCTCTCTCTCTCACACACACACACACACACACACACACACACACACACACACACACACACACACACACACACACACACACACACACACACACACACACACACACACACACACACTTCCAACACTACGATCTCAGAGCACCACGAGCTTTGTCCAGGATTTCCTTTTTCATTTTTGGGTAATTTGGATGAGCAGCCAAAACCTTTAGATGAAAGCAAAAATCTTTATCAGAATGAAACCAGATCAAATTATAAAAATGTGAATAGGTGTCTTGAGAGTTGCTATGGATAAAAGCGTCAGCTAAATGACATGTACTGTAATGTAATGTGTCTCACCTTATGACACACATCTATGGCATCAACATGCCTCTTTGCTTTTAAGTAGTTGAAAGCCAGCTTGTAACCTAAAACAAAAACAGCCATTACTTGTTAGAAATAGCCTTTTTATACATACATAATACATTTAGTCTGTTTGAATAGAAATGTGATTTTAGCTGTCATACCAATAGTTGGGTTCGTTCGATTTCCATATTTCCAAGCCAGTTCATAGTTGAGTGCTGCATCACGGAATGCCTGCTCCTTTTCCATTATGTAGCCCAGATACTCATAAGCCTTACAGCATGACTGTGGAAAAAATGGAAATTATTCACAAAGAAACAACACAAATCAAAAAAGAAAAAGGGCAGAATTTTTGTGGGAATCATACTGCCTTGAGAACCACATAACATTCAAACATGGACCATAATTTTCGGCGGACCTTGTTATGGTTGAGGCATCTCTTCAACAGGTCACCGGCCATGTCGTACTTTCCCAAATGGATGTAGATGTCTGCCAAGAGCAGCCAGCTCTTCTCAAACTCATCGGCATCAACAAGGCTCCAGTTCATCTTAGCGATGCGTTTGAGCTGGTTCCTGGCTCGGGGAGTCTGTTTCAGCATCATGTAAGCTGTCGCCATGGCCAGGAGTGCCGGTACATGGTCGCTCTGAAAGCAACCGAAGACTCCTGGTCAGACGGCACCTCCCCCACTATGCCACTTCCACTTGTTCACACCTAAACCCTACGGACTTCATCACTTTGAATGGTATTTTCACACAACAGTAAATAGAGAACAATACTATACTATATCTACTGTGTTAACACTCAGCCGGATGAAATGTAAAGTTTACAGTTCAAATAGAATTAGTGACATTAAGAGGGAGTTTGAACAATGCACAGCTCCTGGCACGAGAGGAATCTATCTTTGCACCAAATTCAGTTTACTTACTTCACTGTTTGCAATCTCTGTGAAAACACTAAGGGCTTTCTCCACATTGGCCTTCTGTTTAGTGGCCAGAAAGCAGTAGTTCTCCAGAATGCGGAGCTGTGTGTGTCCTCCTGGCGTCTGTGGCCTTAACTCCTTCAGCAGCTTATCCGCCGTTCTCACAGCGAGCTGCTCTGACTCCTGCTTCTCCGTGGAGTTCCTGGCGAAAGAAAAACGTGAGAATTAGACAGAAGTATTTGCATATTATTTATTTTGATTTGGAATCTTATGGGATCGAATGCTTCTACTGCCACTCACCCTATTTCACCATCTAAATTCTCAAATACTTCTCCTCCCATGGTGTCATTGTCAGGGTTTAGGTAGATTTCAATCATGTTGTACACAGCGTTTTGACCCCAATCATTGTCTTTCCTTGCTTTGTTGAAATGCCGCAGAGCATCATTGGGTTGTCCTGTGAACCTGAGCAGCAAGCATAAGTTTATCCCCAAATCTTAAAATGTATTTCACCATTTTTTGAGGAAAAGGTCCTCCAAACTTACCACAGATAAAGTCCATTGCAGTAGTTGAACCCAGGGTCAAATTTAGTCCTGGAAGAATGTTTTTCTGCCATATCAATAAATCTGGGAACTTCTTCTAACTTGCCGGCCCTCCTCAACAAGTCAATGAGACGTGACAGTGTTGGGTAGTTGTCTGAAAGAAACAGGCATTAGTTAGTAACATTTAGGAAACGTCAACTCATCAATTCACATTTACATTCGCCACAAATGCTTTGAAACGTGGCTCTGATGCACCTGGTTTGCGCTCCAGGAGTTGTTGGAAGTGGAAAACGGCCTTCTCGTAGTCCTGCTTCCTAAACATAATGTCAGCCATCATCTAAGAACAAACACATGTGAGAAATGACTTCTATGAATACGTTCCCAAAATAAAGCTCACGGCCTAAACTGTGGGGACAAGAAAGAGAAACCGAACCAGAGTGGCGTCTTCGTTACACTGGTCGCTCTTCAGAATGACGCTGCACTGCTCCTGGCATGCGTCAACCTCACCTAGAGTGAGGTACAGCCGGGCCAACTCCATCATCACCTAAGAGCAGCAAGTGAAATCATTTGCATTTATGTGACAACACACTTGTTGGAATAATGCAGGGTACATGAATCAGGCCTTTAAGCCCAACTATCAACAACTAAGATCACAAGCACCAGACTCTAAAAGATACCAGTGCTTGTTAACCACAGCTGCAGTCAACACACAGGATGTTTTTCATTCGGCTGCACTGACCTTGCGATCCGTCTCACAATACACAAGAGCTTCTTTGTAGAATTTGACTGCCCTCTCATAGCCCCTCTGACTTGTGTAGTGTTTCGCGATCTCAGCGCAGATCTCGGCGGCAAGCTGTTTCTGCGTGGGGACGGCGTCAGGCTGCTCCAACTGCACCCGCTTCAGCACCTTGGCCTGCACATCCCGGGCCTGTGCGGAGGGGAGATGTAATGTGTTTGTGAAGTCCTCATCAAACCAATCAGAATTGCATCACGCAATATGTGGAAAGATGACAACAACCACATACTCTTTGCAGGGAAAGGAGAGCTTCCTCATTTTTGTCCACCTTGTTTTGGACCTTTGCCAACAGCACCAGATAGCGGCAATCATCGGAGAGCGCCGGCACTTCGTCCACTTGGTACGTTCGAGGAAAAGAAAGAAAAAAGTTTAAAAAAAAGTGTCTTCAACTCACTACGACGAGGATGTGATTAGCTCTACAGTTCATTGTATTTGCTTACATTTCTTTCTCAACAAGTACTTTTTTTGTTTATCAGTGCACAAACTGTCCTAATGACTAAATCCTCTAATGGCGTGTTTGAGGTCAGGGGTTCACTTTGTGCGTGTATTACTGTGACGCCTTAAGTACCTGACTCATGGGCCAAAGCTTCATTCAGAACTCCCTCACAGCGCGGATATTGCTTCATCTTCATCAGCAGCTCAGCCAGGTCGTAGCGCAGGAAGTTCTGCTGCTCCGTCTTCAGGGCTGCTTCGTAGTAATTTATTGCCTGTGTAACAGCAGCCTTGTGTGAACACTGTTATTTTTTCCCCATGAGTTAATCATGTTCATCACTCTTTAAATAAGTTTCCAACACAAACCTTCATGTAGTTATGAGTCTTGACCAGGGCTCTCCCAATCTTGCTGGCTAGGGCACCATCTTTGGGGGTTTTCTTCAGAGCTTGCTCATAAACCTCAATGGCCTTTTCGGGCTGAGGATAAAAACAAATTGCAAGTGTTTGACAATTTGTTGTAAATATTATTCAGGATGTCTATAACATGTAATCATTTACAAACTAACGAGGATTAAGAGCATATTGGGTAAGATTTATTTTAGTCGTGAATGATGCTATCTTACCTGTCATCACGACCAGAGTATGTGTCAATATGCCTGACATTACGAGGCTTGGCTCGCCTCCCATTTAATCACGCACACGCTTCATACTACTACTCATCCTACTAAGAGAAACATCCGAGGATCCTCTACATGAATGTTTAGGATTTTAGAATTGTAATACAACTCACAACGGTAGTGATCCATATAAAAAAGATACAGAACAATCACGTCTTCCACTTACTTCTTGAATGTTCATGTAGGCGTCACCTAATAAGAGGTATGTGTATGGGCTGGGCATCTTCTCAACCATTTCCCTGCAGAAAAGACAAAGATATCACATACACGTTCAATGAACTTTATTATGCATACATACAGTATGTCTAAGCAGGTGTGAGGCTCTGTTATGTTCTGCTGCATCTCAGCTCTTCAGACGAAACTAAAGGCAACTGTGCACATCTCATCTTCACTGGAGGAATGGCTTTAGTTAGTCAAACAAGCATTTACAAAGCGTTAAGTTGCAGACGTAGTAAAGTCGCTGATATGTTCAGCTACTATCTTACATCAAGATTTCAATACGCTTTCTTCGTACATTTCGTCCATATGTATTGCTCACCTGAAACAGCTGGCATACAGACGTTTGTCCTTCCTGTGGTTCAGATACGTGTATGCCATTTTCTCCTTGGCTTGGATGTAGTACGGCTGCTCCGGGGTAATGTTTCTGAGCATACTCAGTGCCTGCTCGGTGTCTCCGCGCAGCAGAGCCAAGTCCGCATTGGCAATGGTGACGCGTAGCTCCTCAGGGGTTCCCGAGAACTCATTGATGGCATCCTGCATCACCTTTGCTGCTTCATGCTGAAGTGTTAAACCCATTCATAATAGGATAATTAGGATAATGTATACTTTTTTTTCATACAAGGCAAATGGGGGAAAGCCCACAAAACACTATAGTGATCAACCAATGAGACCAGAAGAGCACACAAGAGTCTTACGTCCAAACTCTAAATGTTACCTGTTCTCCGTTGAGCCACAGGGCCTCAGCTAACTCCAAGAAGACGGAGACGCAGTCCGCAGAACTCAGCACAATCTTCTTGTGCTTGGATTTGGACGAGGATCCAGCTCTGCGGACACCTGGAAGACTCATGGCCATCTGCAGTGTCTGAATGGCCTCTGTCAGCTCACCCATTTTCTTCTTAGCCTGAGCATTTATCAGGTGGTACAACGGATGTTCTCGTATCTGGAATGTAAAAGACGTCACGCACATGCAGTGCATACAGTTACATATTACACATAAATGGGATTTTTACATTTGCCCTGCTCAGATAAGAGCCTGGGCCCGTCTTGTCCAGTCAATGTTATGAAGCCAATAACACTGGTTACCTTACCTCAAAGTTGTGGCTGAGGCAGAGTTCAAGAGACTGGGAAGACAATGGAAAGTTACCCTGTAGCAGATGAATCTGTGCCATTAGCAGATGAGCATCTGCATAAGAAGGACACTGGTCCAGACAGCGTTGTAAACTGCTCTGAGCAGCTACAATGTCACCTGAATGAACACAGAAGCAATGCAGATTAAAAAAAAACATATGCAGTAAAGATACCAAAACGTATTTTAAATGCAGCGCTCACCAGACTGATATCTGACTTTGGCTAGCAGGAAAACCCCTTGGGGTAGACCGGGGACAATCTTGACCACAGTGTCCAACAAAGTGGCACAGTGCTGAAGCTGAGGAGCCGAAGGCTGGCCCTGTGCTGGAGGCTGAAACAAGTCAAAGTTGTATTTAAGAAGATATATTGAATATAACAAAACAACAAACAGCCCAGCATGGATGGATCTTCCGTCCGTACCTTAGCGGGACACAATGCAAGATACTCTTTGACAATCTCCAATAGGAAGTCCGGGTTCAGCTTCTCAAGGTACTCCACTCCCAGAGGTAGACCCTGCAGAGCGGAAAAGTGTGTGTCCACGGCATCATTCAGCAGATTGGTCACCTCTTCCGGGGAGCGGAGCTTTTTAACCGCCAGCAGAGCACGTAGGTACAGTAGCTCCTGTGGACAAAATCATTATCAATTGTATCAATCATCAATTATAGAAGGTGAGACGCAAGATGGTTGGGTAGAAGAAGTAAAGTAGTTTAGGCATTACTTCTTGTACATCATAACAAGTCATAAAGGACCTTACGCCTGATTTTCCAATAGATTGTTGAATCTCTGTGAGAAATTCCAACTGTTGTTCTGCGTCTTCAAGTTGGCCCTCTATCAACTGGCAACGAATTATCCCTGAGAAACGTAAAATACATTTTTTATATCTTCAGAAATATTTTTTAAAAGTATGTTTGAACCCAGAGTTTCGTGGAGACAACAGGTTAATGACTTGTACACGTTACCAGTCAAAGCAGAGACACTTGTCTCATCCAAAGCCATGGCTGTCTTGTACCACTTCATGGCCTCCTTGACTCTGCCCTGAAGCACCATCTGGTAGCCCAACTCTGTGGCGAAATCGGAGTCCCCTGATGCCACAGAGAAGGCTCTTTCCACCATCCTAAACGTCTGCTCAATAACTTTCTCATTCCGTCCACACTACGAGAAAAAAAGACAAGTGTAGATGCTGAAATTCCAAACAAATGAAAAAACTTATTCAGAGGTAATGAGGGCCAAAAATGTGGCAATAAGGAATTTAGAAAACAACTCTTGAAGGATTGTCTTACAACCCGGGTGAAGGCCAGAGACATCCTGTAGAAGAGCTCTGGGTTGTGTGGTTCCATGACCTCAATGCTGCCGATGAGGTTTGAAAGCTGCTTTACCGACTGCCAAGGGGGATATAAAAACAGCTTTTGCAAATGGACCAGAGGTTTTCCAACGCTCCATCATGAATGTCGGTATTTACAATGTTTCTTTAATTCCCGCTGTTTGGCATCAATGTGAAAATGTTTATTTTACCTCAGTAATATCTCCATCTCTACATAAAGAATGTAGAGCCAGCATCCGCAGTGCCTCCAAATTATTTGTATCCTTCTGTAAGAGCCTGAAATATGAAACAACGTGTTGCGGTTAAGGTCAGTCAGCTGCATTTTATAAGCTTGGAATTCCGCAATAGTAATAGACAATATGACACTTCTGACATTAAGCTCCAAATCAAATAACATTGGAACTTAAAGGAACGGTGAAGTCTGATGACACCTCCCACTCGCAAACCTGCAGCAGCAATCCTTGAAATTGTGTTAGACTTCTGACTTTTGGCTCAAAGGCCTTTTTATGCCGCCTCACCGTGGACAACATCCAGAAGGGTGAGCGCAAACAATGGCTAAATCAGTATGCGCTGCTTTTCATTTGCACTTGAATGCTTTGCCATTTGTAGAAGAAGGCTGTGCTTTTTCCTTTTGGTGATTATGAATTCTTTTGCACTCGGAAGAGACATTGTCACTCTCGAACAGGCTTGCGCTAAGACGAGATCTGTCAATGACTTGGGAGACACATCCCAACCACCTCGGCGATTACCTGTGTGATGCATTGATGGTTTGCTCCCAGTCTTGAAGGCTGAGCAACAGTTTCATCTTCTTGGTGAGTGCGGGCAAGAAACCAGGAAAACTAACGATGACCTTGTTGACCATCTCCAATGCTCCGGAGTAGTTCTGACGATATTCATAGTATTGTGCCTAGGACAGATGAAACAAAACGTAAGGTGTATCGTACCCCGAGGCTAGAATGAAATAGGACTCTTCCTTTAGTACTCAATATGAACAAATTGCCTAAATGTCAAAAAGCAAGAAACCTAGAACCAAGTGTGTTGATTGCAATGTGTCAGGTTACAAAGGAATAATTCAAATAGTTGACTGTCCAAATGGACTGAAAGATACTTCGTTGGCTGTTTTTACCGCCATACAACCATATGAAGGTGTTGGCAAAGGACACACACAAAAATGGGGTCAATCGGAAACAGGTTAAATAAGGGAATTGATGGCATCATAACCTTTTCAGTCGTCACTGAGGAAGAACATTCAATATGGATTTGTGATTCCTATCTCACCTTTCCCATCAGAGCAAAAACATCTGCCTTCTCTTTCAGTCCCTCATCGAAATACTTTCCAGCCTTTCTGGCGTAGGCGTCTTTACCAGATGTCACATCTATCCAGGCTTTTAGGATCATCCCCTGAATGAACAATTATCATTCATAGCTTTACCAGAGTGAAAATAGGAGAGAAGCCACAACGTCCATCTTATCACAACATATACTCCAAGATAGTATGACGCATGAGAAAAATGAACATCTCACCTCTCTAGAGCCACCGGAGAGTTTAATCATTCTCTCTGTGTAGTCCCTTGCCTTATCATTTCGCCCTAATAGCCAGAGAAACGTCCCAGCGTAGTACAGACTCTTGGGAGACGCACTTTTTCGATCCTCCTTGACCTTAGCATCGAGTTCTTGGATGACTTCTCTTTCTGCGAATACAAAGACACTTGCATTTTATCAGCATACATGTCCAGTCCAGTGCATAAAACAGTGGCATTATTAAAAAGGACTACAATGGCTTACCGGGGTTAGTCTTTTTTTTCTCTGCATAGACGAGAGCCATTAACGTGCAGAGAGACACGTCTCGACTGTCTCTTAACGTGTCCAGCTCCATTGAGGCTTCTTGGATTTTATCTGTAAGCAGAACGAGGACAGAAGCACACGCATGACAGATAGCAGAGCACACAGATGAGTGACTTAAACAGCGTATGCTGTAAGTATTCTCTTTGCTTCTTTCAAGCTCACCTTGCATCAAGGTGGCATATGCATGGAAAAAGGTATAGATGGGATCATGGGTGAATTTCTTCCGCGCTGCGGCAGAAGTGTTCACTGCGTGGTTGAAATACTTTTCATAGCAGTAGCATCTTATCAAAGCCTGAAGAAAAACAGAGAAGAGACAGTTAACATTATACTGCTTAAACAAAGTGACACCAGAAAGACTTGGCTTAGCTTAAGTATGTCAGCGAACAGTTATACGGACACAGATAAACGATTGGCGGTATCATGAATCGCTTTAACACTTATCAATTCAATTTACGTTACGTCATGTGTGATGAAAAGTCATCTATCGTTAATGGCTAACTGGTAGGTTCTTTGTATCATTTTGAGATAATCCCGAGTGGCCTTTTGGAAACGTTAAAGTCATGAGCAGCGTTTCTGCTTCGTGTTTACTTACCAACGTTGTTTCTTCATCCTCCATCTTGGCTCATACGCTTGTGTTCAACGGATAATCTTGTAGAATCAATAACAGATCATTTACATTGTCCGCATTGTAATATTGCAAAAGAACGACATTATTGTTTTTCTCGCTGTGTTTTCGCCATCTTGGAACAACTCCTTCGGCGTTACCCCGGTAACAGCAACGTGCCTGAGGGAAACGTATTCCCTTTATCATTTCTTTCAGGCACCATTTCTTTACTGGATTCTTGTTAATTGCGACAATCTTGGTATGATTTACACATCTAAATCCCAACCGTAGTTCACATTATATCAAAAGTATTTTGATAATCACTTGGTAAAGTATACTTGCGCAATAATTTGGGACATTGACGGTCTCTCACGCCCGTTTGAATGCCTGACAGACTATACTCTGGGAATAAAAACACTGCATTCAACGCCCTCTCTCGAGCTGGTGTGGCCTTTCTATCTCCAGGTGGCGCAGTCATCCTTTTTTTAAACAAAATGTGACGTTATTACTTTCACTGATAATAATAATACTAATAATGGTAAACCTGATAATTCAGATAGAACTCTAAGGTAAGGAAATTGTAAGGGTGATTGTTATTTTCAACAAATGAATGAATTGGTAGATTTTACCCTGTGCCATGATTTTATTTGAGAGCAAGTCCTCATTACTTTGAGGACATTTGAAGCAACAAGCAAAAAAATAATATTCCATATAAGGTAGGTTACATCTACTTTGAATATATACGGAAACGATTTCAGGGAGCTCACTGGCTTGAGTTACAACATAACACAGAGTTTCTATTTCAGAGATCATAAGCTATTGTTAGATCGGTCCACTACCGATAACCATCCTCACTAAGACATCTAGGTCAATATATTATCTACTATTTGTTATTGCATTGTGGAATTATATAATTATTCAGCTCTCCCGAACAAGGAAACAAGAATGTTTGCACAACGTGCACTCTAAAAAATTTCATAAATGGTTCCGTAAATGGTTTTTACACTATGTTACCATAAAATGGATTACTGTATACCGTAAACTTGAACGAATTTTGCTGTGAATTAACTGCAATTTACTGGCAGTCGACGCTAGTAACTTACTGTTTTATTTACAGTGCCCTACCGTAATTTACGGTATGTTGTCGTATATTGGATTACAGTTTCTTACCATACGATTACTGTTTTTGTGTTATAAATACCAGAATGTTACCGTTTACTTATAACCGTATTTAATTCCCCACAAATTAAAGAAAGACAACTCATTTCGGTCATAGTGGTTGGAGTTTATTAGATGCCTTTAACAAAAATGTTTGGCATTTGTAACCAAGATCAAAACATAAAGTATGCCGCATGTATACAATAATAAAAAAATGAATCATAAAATTATTAGGAACAAGGTAAACTAACTGCAACAATACCCTATGGAACACTTTCAATTGACCGCAGCAAACGGCTGGGTCCTTAATCCAGAGCCTCTGTAAAACAAACCAAAATAAAATATTTAGAAACATGGTCATTGGTAAAATATTAAAATTACAAAGTTGAGGAAGACAACAAGATGTAAGGAAGGATAATTTTAATCATGCTAGGCAAATAACACTTACCAACGTTACTTGGAGAGACGAGGCAATGAGAAACTCCTCCGATGTTGAACTGCACTGACAGGTGTTCTGGATGAACTGAGATTACGCGTCTGACGTCACATTCAGGAGCAGTCGATTAACACTCAAATGACTATTAGGCAATGAACACTTTGAATAATACAAATATTTATAATCTTTACATTCCGGCCCATGAATTGACAGCGAAGGCGCATGCGATAATGAGGGTGTGCTGTGCAGCACAAGGTTGGCGGTTAGAATATTGGCGGCTCCCTGTGCCTAGTTGAAGTGTCCCTGAGCAAGACACCTAACCCACATAAAATTATGTCAAACGATGGGCGTTTTGGATAAAAGTGACAGCTGCATGATAGTAATGTCCTGTAAGTCAAAGTCATCATTGTATCTCGTGAGGTACTCATATCTCATTATGATGACTTACAGGACCTGTTTTTCAGTGGCTGACATGGGCTTCCATACATTAACCTACAAAAGATGTAGATGGATTGTGATTCACTGCACTTGTATGTGTATTTTGACCACTTCATAAAATATATGTAACATGCAGTTGAATTACGGTAGTCTGCTATTATTGTAAATTGACAGCTTTAACTGTTTATTCATGACATTGGCCGTTAATTTACAAGCAAGGGATGGAAATTTAACTGTATGTTACAGTTATTATGACATACTGTAAGATACCGTTAGAAATGCACCGTAAATTTACAGCAATTTGTTACAGTGTGTAGTTTACTATCTGCACTGAATTTCCATCCAGCGAATTATAATTGGCGGCCCAATCTTACGCAATGCCAAGCATGAAGTCTCGATGTCTACAGTGTTGAGTCTATGACGGGATCGCCCAGTGTCCTGCATGGGTGTTCCAAGAGAGACCTTTCCATAGCATGTCAGATACTATTTAGCACTAACTGTGGCACATAATCGTTACTCTCTGAAACACACATCAATAGGAGAGTAAATCAGGTTGGTATTGAGCCCCGAGCTTTGCAATGGGAAAAGTCCGTGTACAGTACCACACAATTTAGCGTACAGTTTTGAACCCATAATGTTAGAAGTAATTATATCACCATTAATGTGCTTGATGAATAATACTGTTTAGTTAAAAACTTCTATGTTATTGCTAATTCATTAAATCAAGTTAATTTGCTAATATTTTGCATAATACTTCTACAGAGTAGTTGCGCGGTAATCAGGGTGTAATAAATACTGCATGTGTCTTTGCACTTACAAAGAATGCCTTTTGAAAACCTATTAGAGGAAAGACTGTGGAATATGTACCCCCTGGGATAGGGCGCTCTTGCATTCTAATGGCTATACCCATTGTGGTTTGTCCAGACCATTATTGATCAAAGAGCCCTGCCTAACAACACAAGCAGCTCACTTGCAAATAAACTCCTTTACTTCATTTTCACATGTGTCATCTGTCATTTGTGTGCTTTTCACTTCAGCATACGGTAGATCCATGTATTAATAAAAACCCATGATGATGGTAATGGGTTCCTTTTTCTACTTGTAGTCAGAATATTGTTGTTGTGGGCTGTAAACTCCATTTTGGGGGGGGGGGGGGGGGTTGTTTCAGTAGTTAAAAAATAGTATTTTCTGAACAAGTGGTTCACTTCAAACAGTGAGTGTGTGTGTTTGATTTAGCAACTGACATAGACAGTGAGTGTGTGTCTCTTAGCACACAGAGAAGGTACTCACCACTACCTGATCTAATGGGATTTTCTTACCCTCCATCTTTACCAAATTAGATTACAGAGACGTAATGGGCAGCAAGCTCAGATTTCACTATGCCCTGTTTTTCCCCATTGCTTCTCTGTGCATGCCAGTGGGGAGATCCCAAGCCAGATGGACACAGTCTCAAATGTAACATGTCCAGCAGCAGCTTGCGAGACACAGGGGTGGGGACGGCAGACTGACTTCCGACCTTCCACCCTGATGCGGTCTAACGCGGGAGCTTGATGTCACGTTGCTGGGCAACTGGTGATTCTGGAGAATCACTCTTGATTTACTGGTCATTAAAGTAGGCAAGCTGTAAGCCGACCTTATGTAGCTGTATGCCGGTTGACTCATGGGCCACATTTTGAGCATATTGGCTCTCTTACGTGTTGTTGTTCAAGGTTCAGATTAGTTTTTTACAGAATAAGAAATGTTATCTTTTAAATAGCATACACTTTTCTGCTTTATTGGTATTAAGATACATAAGTTTAGAAGAAGAAGTTACATAAATCTCCTTTAAAGCCAACATTTACAAATTAAAGTAACTTATAATCATATTACATTAGGTCTTAACAGTGAATAGAATGCATTATAAAAACAGTATAATGATGTATAACCTATGCGAGTGGGATCCATGGGAGAGAAAAGTCAGTAAGTGACCAGCATTTATGTAGTACTTTTAGACCGTATTAACTGCTTGTTTAGTTTACATTTGTTATATATCCCTATGCCTGTTGATATGTTATTTGTATATATAGATATGCAGTGCTTTAAACAGATTAAAATGCATTATAATGCATGAAATGCTTTATAAATATTATGTGATCATCAAGTGTTTTTCTAACATTTATTCAGAGGCAGCTCAATTGTTCTGCTGACTGGCTTCTCAGGAAAACAACATGTGAGCCGTAGAGTGGTGAGAAGGTGAGGCACAAAATGATTATCAGATCATTGTGAGATAGTGTGGCAGGATTATCAGCACTTTGCCATCAATCTTTTGTTTACCGCCCACAGGATTCCGTAGCCACAATCGGTAAAAGCGAGGTTGGACTGTAATGACTTTTTTGGACTGTTATTAATAATTAATGAAATGTTCCACCCACTAATAATGCTAATAGTTTTCCAGCAGGAGCCGCAAAGCGCACTCAGAAACCAGATTCTCCCTTCTTCTAAAAGTAAACTGAAATGTTATGTCCCAAAGCGGTACATATTTTCTGTTCTAAAGATTCCTTCTTGGTGACAATTTGGAACCAAATTTATATGGGTTTTTTTCCACTTTAGCAAGGTAACTGGCAGTATGCTTTTTGTAGTTTTGTCTTGGATTGTGGTTAGAACTTCATTAATAATCCATTTCCTAAAATCCTCCCTCTCAAAAGTTATCACGACGCTGCTGACTCATCAGTTTTATCCAAAGAAACAAATGCATCCTGTGATCTCCGATAAGCTCTGATAAAACGTCTAGTCTTATCAACAATTATGTAACACTTAAAAATGTGGCCTTCGAACAAAAATCTTTGAAACATGACGTAATCTCTTCGAGCATCGTGTCACTTTACACGTTTTCATTGACGCGTACACCCATTCAGTGTTTCAATAAGGGCTTTAATTCAATTCGCACTTTGTGAGGGTAAACGAGGCATATACCGTACCTGCACATATTAAAAAGAGCAATTACAGAGAAGCTCAAATAAAATGTGGATCTGAAATGATGAAGCTCCTAAACACTCGGTAGCTGCTTCTTTGTCTACTGTAATCGTCGCTGAACAAATTGAATAAAGATACAGAGTAGCAGCACACAGTTTCACTGCAACATAGGAACATAGACCTAAAATTCACCTACACCCCTTCTCACAGTTACCTTCATCAAACAATAAATAAAAGTATTTTATGTAAAGGAAACCAATTAATGTTGTAGGCGGACTCGAGGTACATGTCATCTTTATTCTTTTGGTGTTTCAGTAAGATGGGTTATAGCAGTGTCTTGCATGCAGTTGATTTATACACTACAAGAGGTATGCATATAAATTATTGGAAGTGTGAAATTGTATGTAATCAAAGCATTCTTTTGTTATGCATAAAGTATATTGTATGTATTGGACGTTGTAATTACATGCCACATATGCTTACAGTAATGGAATTAAACTTTGATAACATAGAACAACAGATGAGACAGTCTAGGTGGGGAGAAACTAATAAAAGTGACACAACTGCCAAAATCAAATGTAAACAGAAGAAGGAAACATGAGATGTGTGATGCCATTTCCCCGAGACAATCATTCAGTATTCAATGTTCTGAGCAGACTGTCCTTCAACTTAGATGTCATGATAAAGATTGAGAAGTAAACTGACAAAACAGTTTACAATCCACAAAAAATAACTTACAGGTAATCATTTTCAAAGACAAATATGCCGTTGAAGGTTGAAAAGTAAAGTAAAGCATAAGCAACACAGTCATATAATATCCCCAGTAATTAAACACAAGGGTACCGTCCATTTATTCATAGACATTTACATTTTTCCCCTCACAGCTCATGCTAAATTTAAATTAAATCTGTCTGCCCTGATGAAGGTAGATCATCGAGAATATATTCGGTTTCATATCACAGGTGATGAATAGTAATTGTTCAATAAGTTCTTTGATTTCGGAATCATTACGTTGAAGTCAATCATGAAAAACAACAATGAATGAAACATAAACAATGTATTGTTTTTGTTTTTTATATTTTGAAGAAAGATGGTTCAATCATAGCCGATCTCCTCCTAGAGCACATTTTTAAAGATGTATGAATGAGTGAGGTAATTTATAAGGTCAGTTTCACTGTGAAAAACCACCTGCTTTTTAAAAAATTGCCATCTGATGACTGCAAACCCTCTAATAACTTTTTCTTTTGCACAGTTTTATATAAAATCTGTACATAATAAGCAATATTGCAAATGAGTTGTAAATCATTTTGATGGCTCAAAGATTTCTGCCAACCGTCACTGCTCTGACACTGATAACCAAACATACTTGACCAGATTAGTTTGGACTTGTTTGGAGTATAATCTCATGTTCTGTAGAGAGGCATAAGATGTAAATTGTACACTCTGGCATGCATAATAATGGAGGAACCTTCATGCAGGTCTACATATTTAGTTAACTGCAGAAACTCCAACATGGTCTCTCGGATTTGTCAAGTATTCTTAACATTCTTAACAGTAAGACTAGCCGTCGGCAGTGCTGCTTGTTTATAAGACTAATCCTGAGGGAAACAACTGAAGGAAACAAACAAAAAAAATCAACCAAACTATGAATTCTGAAAATATAATTTTTTCCGGTACCTGAATAAACTATGGGTAAAGTAATACAACAATCAGTGATGCAACAAAAATTCCAGACACTTTATAGCAGAACTAGCTACTACTTTTTCTGATCACTTCAGCCAAAAGGCATCCTGGCCCAAATTGTCCAACTAAAGTCCGTCTGAGCATATATACCCCATGACCTTTGGACTCAAGAAAAGCAGGGCCAATTTGGCATAGATATCCAGACTAAGGAAGGGAGTCCAGTGGAGGACTTTGTCCCTTTCAAAGGTTGTAAACATTTTGTCATTAATTGAAATGTCTTTGATGCATTTTCAGCAGTATTCTACTTCTATCGCTCTCTGACATCTTTGCCCTCAACCTCCTTTTCACTCTTGTCTTTTTCATATTTGTTTTTTCCATTTGTTGTCACATTGTTACACGGAGGCTGAGGGACTGCTGAAGGTGTCGGTTCACTTTTATCATCACTAGAAATGTCTTGAAGTTTGCCTGTGACCAGATCCCCATCGTCAATGAGCGTTACATCCTTTTGAATGTTGCCCCCGCGTGTGTCAGAGGGACTCCTAGCAGCATGTTTCCTTGAATATCTCCTGAATGCTCTCTGGATGATAGTGGCGGATGTGTCCTCCTGTTTACGGAGCAGAGTGGTGGTGATGGGTTCGTAGGACAATTTAGAAGGATTGGAGGCCACGAAGCGCTCCTCCATCTGCCCCCTCAGAATATCCATCTCTCCTCCCTCGCCCAGAACGCGTTTTGTAAACGCAAACAGGATGTCCAGGCAGTGAATGCGTTCGCCGCTCACCATCGGTAGATCCATTGAGATCAGTTCCATCTTGTTAGGCATGGCTATGCGCAACGGTGGATCCAGTGCGTCGGCGAATTCGGACAGCTTATCGTACTCCATGAACTGCGTCGCACAAGGATCAAACCTTTCCCAGACCTCGTAAAATGTTTCGAAATCATCCTCACTTAGTGGGTCCGCGCTCTCCTCCGTGGCCACACTGAAGTTTTCTAGGATAACTGCAATGTACATATTGACCACGATCAGGAAACAGATGATGATGTAGCTCACGAAGAAGGCGATGCCTACAGGAGGATTCCCACAGTCTCCCTTAATGTGACTGCCGGGATGCTCCGTGCTATTGTTACAATCGTCCTCATGATTGTTGAGAATGGGCGCTAGCAGGCCATCCCACCCTGCTGAAGTGGTAATCTGGAACAAACAAATCATGCTGTTGCCAAATGTCTCAAAGTTAAAAAGGTCGTCAATGCCTGATTCCCTCTTGACATAAGCAAAGTTTGACATGCCAAAGATGGCATAGATAAACATCACCAAGAAGAGTAGGAGACCAATGTTGAACAAGGCAGGAAGTGACATCATCAAGGCAAACAGGAGTGTGCGGATGCCTTTGGCACTTTTAATAAGGCGGAGGACGCGTCCAATACGGGCCAAGCGGATGACTCTGAATAAGGTTGGTGAGACAAAATACTTCTCAATCAGGTTTGCGAGAAACATGCCTAAGGGAAGAAAGATGGAAAAAATAGATTATAAATAATACAGGGACATATACCAACAAAGTATTTGATGTGAATTCATTTGGAGCACTGCAGTGTACAGAGGAAGGTCATACCAATGATTGACAGGACGACTACGATGAAATCAAATACATTCCAACCATTTGTGAAAAAGTAATGGCGAAGTGAGATCATCTTCAATAAACACTCTCCAGTGAAGATGATAATAAAAAATATATTTATTTTATGGAGAACTTCAGTTGTTTCCGCAGACTGATCGTCAGTTTCCACCATCATGGCTACCATATTTAGCCATATTAAAACCATTATTATTATTTCGAAGGCTTGTTTTGTGGTGAAGTCAAAAATGTGTCCTTGAATTTTGTTCTGAAATAGACACAAAGCAGAGAAACACAAGTAAATGCTGGGTGCTATGAAACACGGATTGGGTTTGTACTACAGATTAGATGCAGTTATGATTCTAGTCACGTACCGATGGTCTAGGAATAGGCTTTTGTGGTTTCTTTGATCCCAGCTTTTTCATGGCATTGTAATATTTTTTCTGTTCTTCAGTCATGAAGATGTCTTGACCTCCAAAGTAAAGATGAGATCGAGACATGTCAAATCACAGCAAAGGTGATAAGGAGTGAAATGAACCATTTAGAAAGCAGCTTTGATACTTATCTTTTTCTTTTGCTGATTGAAATTGTCTATGATAACGCCGATAAAGAGATTGAGTGTGAAGAAGGCTCCAAATATGATGAAAACTACAAAATACATGTACATCTTAAGGTTGATCTCATATTCTGGTTGTTCTTCTGCCTATAACAATTACAGAAAATTGAGACATTAGTACATTAACACTATAACCGTTAAGTATAACTCCTGATTTGGCAACGAGTGCTGCAAGTACAACAACTGCAATTCTATACGCACAGCAAACACATGAACCAGACCTCTGGTGGGTTTGTTTACAGTGAAGCCAAATAAACGCATAGCGTTGTAGTTTATCGGTTTGCCATACTAGGATGCGTAAACCAATCAGTTTATGCTGTACAGTGTATATGTGTGACAAATATGTGTAACATGTATCATGTATAACATACTTTATAAAGAGAGATTATACAGGATGGGCTACAGACTAAACTTTAATTACCATGCTTTGCGAGTCCACAGCAGGATACATGATATCCATCCAGCCCTTGAATGTAGCCTTCATAGAAATAAATCATATCCACAAAAATATATCGTATTAGCCCTTTCATCTTCTAATTGCTTCCAGTTTTTCCAAATACAGCAAATAATGTATTTATAATATTTAATCACCAGGTGTCTTGTGCTCCGTTACTTACCACTTGCAGCAGCGCAAGGTAACCCATGCCAACATTGTCAAAGTTGATTTTGGCAATCTTCCAGATAGCAATTTCTTTGCCCAAACTATCACAATCTGACTTGTTTTTCACCTCTGATGTATTGAAATCCATATCTGAGGTTCTGTTGACACAATGGCCATACTTTCCAGCTAATAGGTTAACTCCCATGATGCTGAAGATGAGCCAAAAGATGAGACAAACTAGCAGCACATTGAAGATGGAAGGAATGGCTCCGAGCAGGGCATTGACAACCACCTGTACACCAACACATACACATAATCCATTTGTGAAGCACAAATGACAGGATGTAGCATTGACCGACCAAACTACTTGAGTAAGTAAGTTTCACCACCAGCATACACATCTTTGACAAACGACAAAAGCTCAAATATAATGATTGAAAAGAATACTCTCTCTATATATATATATCTCAGCACTCTAGGTTTTGCTAAATTAATGCTGTATGCTGCTCTTTGCCAGACTGGGTGCTTTTGCTCTGCAGCTGTGCAGTGACGTGGTGACAGCGTCTTACCCTCATGCCATCAAACCGTGACAGGGCTCTGAGTGGCCTCAGAGCTCGAAGGGTTCTCAGAGACTTGATGGCGCCGAGGTCAGAATACCCCAGAGCATTGGCTACGGTGGTGACCAGTGACACCTGGAACACATGCACAAACAAATTTCTTAAGGAACAGAAAACTACGCATTGTTTAAAAAAAAAGAAAAGTGAACGTACTGGGGTGTTTCAACCTACATCAACAATGAGGAAGTCCAGCCAGCACCAGGCATTGGTAAAATACTTGGCAAATCCATATGCCACCCACTTCAGTAACATCTCCAGGATGAAGATATAGGTGAAGATCTTGTCTGCAAATTGCAACACTATTTGAATGTTCTTCCTCTTCGCAATGTAGACATCCTCAAATGCCTGAATGTGTAAATGACAGCGAGTGATTCCTTTTTAATATGAACACAAAGTGATACATCTTATTCATCATCCTAACTTTTCTTTACAGAGAATAGGAACTGTTGGACTGCACTAACTTAATGCAATTGAACGAGGGGCTCTTTAAACACACAACAGCATGAGAATCTAATGCCTACTGAGAGTAAGTAAATACCCGAGGGCACCCAAATAACACAGTGACATATGTCTTCCTGCCTTACCAGTGCTCCACTGCTAAGCAGGATCATGAAGATGATGAAGCTCTCGAACCAGTTGTGCTCAACGATCCGGAAACAGGTCTTCCTGAGCTTCCACCAAACCTTCCACCAGCCCACCTCCGCATTGACCTGACAGCACTCAAACCGTTTAACGCAGCCTGAACAGAGAAAAAGAGGAGATTGTTTTTTATCTACCAGTGATTTATGGAGTATGACACCACCTCCATGGAATGTTAGAAGTAGTATTCACCATCAGGAAAGCAGGCGTCAGGTACCATAGAGTTGTCCAATTCAAAGTCCATCGACTCTCCTCCCTCCCCGCCTGGACCCAAGTCTACTGTGCTGCCGTCAGAGGAGCTGAGCTGGCCATCGTCTTCTACAATCTGTGGATGAAGCCGAGTAAAACTGGTGTTTGCTGAACAACATGGCAAATGTAAAGGGTTGACATGGTTAGCACCTTCCCACACAATTCATACACTCGACATTCCCTTTTTTCTAATCCAAAAATAGTCATAAAATAGCAAGAAATTCAGACAATACGTTTGCATCTGGTACTGAATTCCGCTGTATCTGTCTGGCTTATGACTGTTGGTTTTGCGTGACAGTATCCGTAACATGCATTCAGTTAAAATGTTTGAATCAAATGTATGATGGATAAATTAAAAAGCATGCACAGATCATTATTTCGATTCATCTCTTTAAATGTTGAAGTAAATCTGCTGTTCTAAAAAATAATATTGATTAAAATAAACATTAGGGCATTATCATCAGCTTGACGGAAGAACACCAGTTGAGTGCTTTTCAATAGAGGAAGCAATTAAAAGTCTACATTACAGCTGACAATGTTGTTTCTTGTAGAGGAGATCAGACTCTCAAAGACACGGCATTGTACCACAGGTGATTGTAACACTAAGTAGACACGACCATTTAACATTTTATTAAATTATGTAGTTGTTAATTTACATAAACAAGAGTAGAAGAATATGATTGTACTGTAACTGTCTGCCGGCATCATTGTTGAAGCTTCACTTGTTTGGCTTGTTTGCCAAACAGAGAAACACCAATATGCACAGTATGTATACAACCAGTTTTATGAAATAGATAGGCTAAGGATCTAAATATCATATGAGATTTGCGGCCTGGCAGTGTTTCACGGTAACAAGAACATTACGAACAATACGATTCCTTTAAACTGATTGAAATATCTAATGCATGGTTTTTGGAAAGCCTTAGTGTGTATGCACTGAAATAAGTCATTTTAAAGTGCCCCATTGCGGTTAAATTCATTTGTCACAATACAAAATTACAATAAATTACAATAAAAGTCCCAGAGAATGAAACCAGGAGCGCAAATATTATTGACGATTAAGACAAAATTTGACAAAAAAAATATCAATGTAAAGCGAATCATATAAACAGACAGTATGTTTCTTTTTTCTTTCCCACTGTGAGCTTTTCCTCACAAAGAACAAAGAGCCTTTCCCCAAGAGGAGGATTCAGCTCCCGAGCACTCAGGCCTAAATGGCACATAATGTAATTTAGGTTTTCCTGTCTATATGGCCTCTCCCAGTTAAAGGGTCATGGTATATTGGATATTCAGGGAAAACACCACGTCCCACACTCATACTGGATCTCAGTGGACTATGGTCAAAGCGCCACTTAGCACTAACAACTGTGGTGCTTTGTCAAGAACCACAACCAACGCTGAAATCCTTTGTCGTCTCTCACGTCAAAAACATCAGTGGTTTGGCTGGACAGACTTTGTAGGTTTTAAAGGAGCAACTCATTTTTACAGTTACCGTTGACAGACAACGCTGACCGATCCACGAGAGCATCCTTACCACTTTGCATCCTGCTGCATCAGACGAGAGACTGCTGAAGTCCTCCGTGTTAAGGTTCTCAAAGTCAGACTCTCCCACTGCTATGGGGACTGTGACAGTGAGACTGGGATTGTTGATGAAAGACATTATAGAATCATCACTCTTGCTGCTGACTATGTACTTGTCTCCGGTTTTGTCCACTCCGGTCACATCCCCATTTCCGTTCTTAGGGAAGTCTTTGATGGTATGGTTGGGGACACCATTTGGCCCTAAAGTTTTGTGGAGCTCGTCCAGAGAGTTTTCCTCACCCTTCCATTTTTTCTTCCTCCTTAGACAAACACTGTTACAGCTGTTTCGAAGCAGGGACTTGGTGAAGGCGAAGCCTCTGCGAATCCGACCAATGGCAATCTGCAGGTTGTTCATTTCGCTATCATCTTCTATCGCTGCCAGATTGTCAGCACTGAACGAACTCAGCAGCAGGGCCAGGAACAAGTTCAGCACCTAACAGATAATGACATGACTTTTAGCTATTGTACTTTATGAAAACAACAAAATGAGTGTATCTATAAAACTGAATCATGGGTTTGACAAGCTGGACTCATGAATTGACCATAAGAGATGATGATGTACCACAAGGTTTCCAATAACCATGACCATCATGTAGACAGTGATGCACATGTGGGTCCCAGCCACCTCCATACAGTCCCACATGGTCTCTATCCACTCTCCACATAGCACTCGGAACACAATGAGGAATGAATGAAAGAAGTCCTTCATGTGCCAGCGGGGCAGAGTGCAATCGGCAGAGATTTTACACACACATTCCTCGTAGCGTTTTCCAAACAGCTGCATGCCGACCACGGCAAAGATGAAGACAATAATGGCCAATACCAGCGTCAGGTTGCCCAAAGCACCCACTGAATTACCAATTATTTTGATCAGCGTGTTAAGTGTGGGCCATGATTTGGCCAACTTGAATACTCTCAACTGTAAAAACAAAAGAAAAACACGTCATTTCAAAGCTTTCGGCACACAAAATACACCTGAACATATTGACTACGTGACACACGCGATAGGCTTACCAATCTGAATGACCTCAGAACAGACACGCTGCCCGGCTTGGAAGAGCAAAGCTCTATCAAGCTTAAACCGACAATGACTGCATCGAAAATATTCCATTTCTCCTGGAAGTAATAGTATGGGTCCAAAGCAATGATCTTGAGGACCATTTCGGCCGTGAAGATACTTGTGAATATCTTTAGAAAGAAAAAAATCAGATAGCTGACCATTAATAAACATCCAAAATAATCATTTTCTGTACTCTGCAATTGAAATGCACTTACCAGATTGCCCACGTTTAGCATTTGGATGAAACCAGGGGACATTGGATAATGCTCCATGGCCATAAACAATGTGTTGAGTACAATGCAGATGGTGATGGTGAGGTCCCCAAATGGATCCATCACAATTAGTTTAACTATCCTCTTGATCTTCAGCCATGCTGGACAACGGTCCCAGATGAGGAAGGTGTGGGCAAAATCGTACCAGCAAGGAGGACACTTCTGCCTCGATTCTTCAAGCTCTGGTGTACACAAGTAATGGAAAAAACTAAATATTGTGTATCTGATGATAACAATGATCTTTTCAATACCAGAGATGATGCAAAGATGGGACACTCATGCCACGCTGTGGGATACCTACCCTCCATAGTGTTGGTTATGACACTGGCTATACTGTAAGCTCTTTGTCTGGCCTCTGGACCCTCCAGGAAGTCTATAAACTCCTGTTCTGTTCCTCCAACCGCCTGTCTGTACTCCGTGTCAGTGGTGTCAGCCTGGAGATAGAAAAACGATTGTTACAGATGCAACCGTGATATAGAAGATGTACTTACATCTGACCGTGATACAGCAGCTACAAACGTGATAAAAAGTGGCAGTGTTTTGAAGTACAGGGCAAAGCTATACACGCAAAAGTAAGAAACAATCAAAGGGAATTGTGCATTAAAATGTTATTTATTTCTACACCAGGTTAACTACAATAATAATAATTATACAGAAACAGTACACGGTGGCTTGGTACAATAATGGTACCCTGTTGGATGGTCAGAAGACACAGTTAAGATAAGATAAATAAACAAAAGTATTGTGTCATTGCTGATTATTTAAAACAGCATAACGCCATAAAATGTATTTTTAGCGTCCACCAGGGCTCTTGTGTCCAACAATGGTGGACACAGAAGACTTACCCTCAAGTGTGTCACTGAGTTTACGCTCCACTTCATCAAATAGTGACAATATGATATGAAGTTGAGTTAGAATAACAATAATAATAATAATAATTAATTAATCCTCAAAGTTTGAGAAAGATCTGGTTTGAAATCTGGTAAAACATTTTCACAGATACACAGCTGGTGGAACTACCAGTTCACACACAACCCCTCGGCTGTGCTCTGCAGCCAGACACACAGTGGTAGGAAACAGTTTGCTCACAGGACTTGAAGCCTGAATCAATACTTGAAGTTGTGGCGGGCACTCCTGGCTGGGTTCTGACCTCTACTGACGGCATCTTCTTAGTTGCTTACATCGCTTATATTGTAGGTAAATTGCATTTTTGGCTTTTAGTGAAATATCTCGAGAACTACTTTTGTGCTATTGTCACAATATCCTTCACATGACAGTACACAGTACAATGCACAGGGTGAGAATAGATAGAGCCATGAACTGGGATGAAGAAAATGAAATGGGGCTATTTAGACTTTCTTACATTGTCTCCAGTGGAGGCCATATCGACCATCACCTTAGGCAGAAGGAGCCCCACAGGTGATGATGGGAGTGAATTCCCACCCACGAGAGAAACAACGCCATTGCAGTTTACAGAGCTGTGCTTTATCCCATTGGGTGAAAAAAGGAGATGCGATAAGAAACTCCGTTGGCTCATACTGCTGCTGCGTCGATCACAACTTCTGGGATGAAAAAAAGAGCCCCTCCGACTCAGGTTGTCCTCAAAAATGCTGTTCTCATCATCGGCAAACTCATTATCTGAGCCATTTTCCTGCGCTTGGCTTCGGAAACTGAAAAGGCTGGTCTTGCTGTTCCTTCTGGATGAGAAGAGGGGTCCACGAAAGCTCAGAAAGGACTAAGAAGGAAAGATATTCTTCAGTGGACACATGCTGATTGTGAAGAGAGAACAGGAAGGACAGCCATTGTAATAAGTGCAAATGACATGAAAGGGATTTCTCTAGCGAGGTAATGAAGGAAAATAATGCCTGACAAGGCAGATGGTGGTCATAATGATGCCAGTGAAGACACAAAAAAAAGTTGGTGATGACTAAGAATGTTAAAGATGATGATCATGATGTTGATGAAGAAGAAAAAGGTAATGATGGTTATTCTGGTCATGATGATGTTGATGATGATGATGATGGTGCAAAGGATAATGATATGCATTATAAGGAGGTAGAAATGTTAAATAAAATTGCATTCGATGATGATTGGTAGAAGTTGATAATGACAAAGAAGAAGATGATGGTAGTGATGATGATGATGATGATGATGATGATGATGATGATGTTGTTGATAATGATGTCAACGACAATGCCGATGGGATGGAGGGCGGTGAAACGAAAACCATTACGACGGCATTGAACGAAACATTGCATTGGTCTTAATTGCGTGCATGAAAGTATCGTAATAAAATTGTAAGCTCATTAGAAAATTATAGTAATAATGTTTGAATATCACATAGTAGATATTCTGCAATCCAACACTTGGTATGACATCAGAATTGCTCACAGATATTCACAGCTTTAAAGTGAGCTCGGTAATCACTTCATCTATCCATTTACTTCCCCTCTCTTGTCGCTCATTGTGAGAGCTCTGCAAAGAGAAAGCCAGCAAGTCTTCTCATTGAAAGAAAGTTCAACATACCCGCTAAAACGTTTTTGTGGTCACTGGAGGAGAATTTCAAGCACTGCTACTGATAGTCGGTATATGAGTCTGTATTTCTACACCATTAACATGTTGCATGTCGTTGTGAAATACGCATCTATGACATTGAATATCATAGCTTATGCCACTGTTATTTTGTGCAATTGTAAGGTTAACGATAAAATATCTAATGATGGAAATTGTCTTATTGACTGATTCAGATTTACCGTGATGTAGATTGGGAAAATGTTGGGAAGGGAAATGCGAAAAGTTGTTCTTAAGAGTTTGGGGACATAATACGCTGAAAACACTTCTCAATACAGAACGAAACGCCGCTACTTTCATACCCAAATCCCATTGATAGATAATACCGAACCTGATGTGCGGATGAGCATTTCATGTCATAGTTGAGCTGGTTTGCGTCCACAGAGAAGCGGCAGCGGCCTTTCCACACACCGTCGCGTGATTCGTTGACTCCTGATTTAGGAACCTTCTCATCGGCCCCTTTGCCCTCTTCCTCCTTTTTTTTCCTGCGTCTGTTACGTCTCTCTTTGGCACTTTTGGAGCTGAGCTTGGAGGTGTCAGAGGAGCTCTCAGGGCCAGTGACTTTATCGCTTGCCTCCCCAGCGCCTGCAGCAGTTGCCGCTGCCTAGGAGAAAAAAGAGCGGGGCAATAGACAACAACTGAGAACCTTATTGTACATTATTCACATTGTCAAAAAGGCATTTAACTGCAATCTGCAGACAGACACATCTTCCTGGAATGTAGAGGAAGAAAATCTCACTGTGACAAATACAGCGCCATATCTCAGGAATCAGGAAACATTTATTGCCATAATATGTCAGACATACAAGGAATTTAAATTGGCGGTTGGTGCGTAACAGCAGACAGTACGACAATGGACTACAAGACAACAGTGCAAGAGGAATAAAATAAAATATGATGCTATGGGTTAATAATATAAGGCCATGGGTTAGTTTAAACATAAAGGAATAAAAGTTAAAAGTTAAAACTATTTAAAAATTAAAAATTAAAATTAAAGTGCACCAGCGAACAGAAAGTGACGTGTGCAGTGTGCAAAATAAAATAAAAATCTGGCAATCATGTAGAACATAAGGTGTTATTTGTATATCTATATTAATTCATATGTTTAGCTACATAGTAAAACGTTCATTCACTATTTGGTGTTCAATATATTTTGTATAACATTTCCCAAAAACGTACTGCTGATCAAATACTGACTCATTTATTAATGATATGTTATTTGATTAGATCAGTCAGAATCTTAGACTGTCCCGTACCTGAGCGTCCTCTTGCTGCCGTTTCAGCTGCTCAAGCATGGCCTGAAACTCTTCCTCCTTCTCAATCCCCTCCTTTATGGTGACCTGACTCTGCTCCTCGTAGGCCATGGCTACGACAGCCAAGATCAGGTTGATCAGGTAGAAAGAACCAAGGAATATCACCAGCACAAAAAAGATCATGTAGGGCTTCCCAGACGCTCGCAACGTCTGTGAGAAAAACAATAAAGCAATATACTCATTTAATATATCTATACTCAAAATATGTATTTATTTCCTTTTCTTGGATCCTATTAATGCAGATGTGTTCATTTCACGTTCTTTTTAATAATAATGTTATTATCATTAAAGTCAGTGATCCACATAATCAAAAGACACTGAGATAAAACAGCTTGTTGTACCGAAAATGCCATGCAGTTACACACAATGCAGTGTTGTATTACTGTTTGCTTACTGATACGACAAGCCTATTCAATAGACACCTATTTGCATTTAAGGCCTTTCACGTCGTGTTTGCCTGAGTTACGGACGGACTCATCGTTGTTCTTTCTGACCGAGATGCACCTGCACTTCGTTCAGAGGGTTGTTTGAACACTTTTAATACTAATATTGTAATGTGAGAATGTTATGTATTTCACAAAGCCCCACCGTAAAACAGCTTGCACTGCCTCTTTATTTACTTAGAGATACTTATGCATACAAATGCATCTTCCTCCATCACACGTGAGGTCAAATATTTCATCAACTTGCCATTAAAGTGGCCGCCGTTCTTCACGATCGCTGAGCAACCGAAAGTTCAAGAAGGACTTACTGTGAACCTCAAGGTTAAGTAGTTAGTTTCCCATAAAGCAAAGCTATGAAGGCAAATCCGGACTAAATAAAGTGGACATTGATGGTATTAAGGATTTTAGCAATTTATATTGTTGACAGATTTTTGGTGTTAGCCTTACAGAGTTTGTTCTTTGTCACACCACCCACTAATTGAATAACAGATGTGAATCCTCCTTAAATTCACACAACAGAATTCAATTCAGTTGTGTGGATACCTTAAAACATTGTCTTTTATTTGGATTACTACTGTATTTTCTTTTTTTTTTTTGTACAGAATTCAGTAATTTATCCCTGCATATCCATATTGATCTATAACATGTTTACAGTCAATATACTGTCACATGCTTTTATATGTATTATAAAGGCATTAAAAGTCCCTCAACTGCTGGTTACCTGCTGGTAAAGGTTTTCCCAGTAGTCCTGTGTCATCAGTCGAAACAGAGAGAGGAAGGCCCAACCAAAAGAGTCAAAACTGGTGTAATTATAGTCAGGGTTGTTTCCTGCTTTGCAGCAAAAAAAACCATCTGGACACTGCCTGCAACAAACAGAAACAGTCTGTGAAGATCAGACGGAATCATGCTTCCTCCTTTTCACACTTTTTGGTAATGCTAATGCTGAGACGGATGCATCATACAAGGACTAAACATTTCGTAAACATTTTGTGTTGTATGAAGTTGGGAATAAGCTTACCCAGCTTCACTGCCGTTTCCACAAAGCAATGGATCTCGCTTGCCTGGAAGGTAATAATGATTACCTGATGGGAAAGGAGGGAAACACTTTCTTTGTCAGTAGGGATTGCAAAAATGGTCAAAGACAAACTCTACAATATAAAGAAATCCAATGAGTTCTAAGAAAATAGAAGATAGGGGGGGGGGGGGACTCGGACACTACAATGTCCGACACTAACAATATTAAATATAGCCTCATGAATTGCATTAATATTGTATTGTATCTTTGACGCAATGTCACAAAAAAAATGAAACGCCTCAAGTAGATGTTTTAAAGTTAGATTTAAGAGGTTTATCTAATAACAGGATAAATATTGAAAGTAACTATAAATTGACAAGTAGTCCTAATCAGGTCACTTACATAGGTAATTAGGTAATATCCTTCATTATTATAACACAAAATACAACAGAGAAAAAATATACTCACTGCTATTGATCTTGTACGTCTCCCAGTTGAATGTGCCGTTTTCTGTTCCATTGTATGAGGTGTCATTATTAGGAATCCTTACACACTTTTGCTTTAAATGGCCCATAAACAGTTGTAACCCTATGAGGGCAAAGACGCTCAAGCAGAAGACGGTGAGAATCATCACATGTACAAGCTTCTTCACTGACTGGAACAAGGCACCCACGATGGTCTTCAGGCCTGCCAGATACAGTATCACGTGTTACTCTAAGCAGTCAATAGAAGCCTGTGGGAACATCAACAGCAGTCCTGTGCACGACCTGTGAAAATACTATAATAAATAGTTTCCCATAAATATTTCCCCTATAGTTCAATCTAAACAATTGGGCTATTTGACATTCAAATACACACTCTATTGTTAACACACAATAGAAATGCAAGAAGAAGGTCTTTAGCCACCCTCTTTGTTTTGGAGCCATAGAGGCTCAATGTGGTAAACCGGCGGTAGCACATAAAATCAGGATCATGCACTATGCGATAATGTACAAGCAACACTATTAAGACGCCACCACAGATGCCTTCATAACCGCAAGCAAAGAGGAGCACGGCGCTGACAAGGTATAGTGCAAAAACACACAAGCAAATTACACAGATCTCACAGAGTAACTCTGACAATTATTTATTAATCTGTGGATCCCAAAGTGCAAAAACTCCACACAAGAACATTCAATCTCGAATTTTGTTGCTTGCTTACTTGAAGGATTTCAGTTGCTAATCTTTGGACAAGAGTCAAACAGCTCTCAGTCAGTCAAACAACTCTGTGACATAGCTGTGATGGGGAGGTGGATAGGTCGGGTTGTGGCAGCATCCGGCATACATGTGATGCCATTTACAGCAAGAGAGGCGGTAATTGGAAGAGGAGAGGATGATGGGCAGCGGAAAATTCTGCAAACTAACCGACACGCTACTGCTTACCTGGGATAACTGAAATAGCTTTAAAAGCTCTTAGCACTCTGAATATTCGAAGCGCCGAAAAATTACCTAGGCCTGGAATCAGTGCCGTTGCATACCTGGAGAGAAACTCAGAATTAATACGTAATATTGACTGAGATGAAATACATGTAAGATTGTAGTCAACAACGGTAATTACATTTTTGTGTGATGATGCATATTTTTTGTATGTTGTTTTAAAACCATGCTGTTGTTTGGGAACAAACGGGCTTGTTGCTGAAAGCCAAATACATACAAACTGTTGAAACGTCCTTGGAACTGTACTTACGCCAGGACAATTACACTGAAATCCAGCCAGTTCCAGGGATCTCTTAGAAAGGTGAACTTCCCTATGCAGAACCCTCGGGCTAAAATTTTAATGACGGATTCAAGCGTATAGATTGCAGTGAATGTGTACCTGTTGACAAAAACAAATAATTTTAATGCATTTTTGTATTTATGTAACCCAAGCATGCAATGCAATGTGTCATTTGTGTGAAACTTACTCAACATACTTCGCCCACTGGGCCGAATCCTGACTGCGTGTCATATATGCACAGTTAGCGAGGATAGTGCACATGATGAACATACTGAACAATTTGCAAGCAGTTGTCAAGGAAGCAAATCATTTTATTGGAAAATGAACACCTGTTTTTAAATATATAGCAGATTATATCTACGTGAAAGGATATGAGTGTACCAAAATCTTTATTGATATTCTTCTAAGAAGGTTGAAGGGGCTCAGGAGGTACAAGGCAGGAGCAGCGTTGAAGCGGAAGATGACATTTCCTCTGTTTAATACTATAAAAGTCTGAGAGAAAAAGAGGGACATTTATAAAATGCACATATTTCTTGGCATCCTATATACAATTATAGTTTACACACATAAAAAAGTATGGCATATGGCCATTTCCAACAACTAATGAAGAGCGCTTGATGACTTACAGAACTGTCTCTGTGCAAATCCCTGATCACATTTTTTATATTGCTGTTGTACGTTGTATACATACACGGGTTGAACAGCTGCCTGCAGTGCCATCTTAACACAGTTTATAAAAAGCTAAATGTTTGTCATTAGGCGTCATGTTCGATCTTGAAATCAAGCAGACCTACTTTCTGATTACAGTAGAAGGGATCGAGGTCCTCCAGCGGTGTCGAAACCATGCCTTTAGGAGCATCCCCATACAGCAAAGGGAGGGATTTTCCCGCTTCCAGCTCACGGCTGGGTTTGGGCTTATTCTCATCCTTGCGTTTTCTCTTCTCTTTCTTGGGTTTCTGGGCTTTCTCCTCCGCGATACGTCTCTCGATGGCTTTGAGGGAGTCACGACTTAAGGGGCGGAAGCTGTCTGGACCTGGTGGTGCAAGCAGCTGTGCCATCTTTCATCCTTCAGAGGGAGAAGCCAGCCTCTAACATGAGAAAGACCTGAGGCATCGGAACACATCGTAAACCCTTATTGGAGGTTAATGACAGGACAAAAAAATACTTTTTTTTTTTTTTTGGACAAAACATATTTCTGGCTGCGACGTTCGAACTGCTTTAAATGGAGAGGAGAGCAAATTGGGTGTGGTTCTGTTGTTTGGCCAGATATCCTCATCTCAGGAAGTGGTTGGCTGTAATGTTCCTAGAGAGGGGTGTCACGCAACTACATTCATGCCAACTGTGTTAAAATTAGATGTAATTCATCTACATATAAAATGAAGAATTAACGTGACAATGATTAATTCCAGGTTAGATTATTGCTCCTCTACGCCATCCTTCAAACTCATAAGAGTCTGCTTTCCTCTTAGAACAGGGGAGAATAGATGAATCCTACTAATAGGCCCGACTGGTATGATGTGCTAGGAAGACCTATGCAGTATTAAATATGAATGCACCACCGACTGCAGTGCATCCCTCTGGGTGCTCTGCTACCGAGAGCTTTGGCCTGATCCGAACGGAACAGTGTAATAGAATACTTTCACACGGGGTGTCTGTGACGCAATAAATCAATCACAAACACAGTGGACCATCAGCTGCCCACAGCACTGGGTAATACATGTGTGATGTAATTACCACAACAAGGAAGGTCCAACAACGACAATAAAAACCTTTACTTTTAATATACAGGATATCTGTGCGCTTCATTTGCACTTCAAGGTCAGGTTTACACATTGAGAAAGAAAGGTGCTCAGCCAGTTGAAGAAAAGTTAGCGATGGGACACTGCAATGATTGGAATAGGATTTTGATCAAATGGCCTCTGTACGTCAGAAGAACCCATAGGCATCAGTTGTCATCTCTGCAGACCAATGAAGGAAACGCTGAAATGGTCAAACGCATTTAGAGGAATAGAGCACGCTCCAACCCAAACTACAGCAATAAGAAATGTTCAAAATATAAGTGAACCATTTAGGATTTACAGATTTCCATGTAATTTCCAGTACAATTTGACATAAAATACTGATTTATTTTTTTAATGAAAAGTGTGAAAAATCATTTCAGGACAAATTGTATTCTTGTTTTTATGTTTTGTGGCTACTCTGCTCTGCCGTGTAGCCCGCTGTTACAGTGCCGCACATGTTTACATACTGTAACACATACAGTATAGTAAGTACTAAGGCCAAAACATCTGTTAACGTACTTTTGATGTTGATGATCTTAAAATACATTTAACGCATAGTTGTATATTTAAGGCTCACTCAAGCACAAAACTATTAGAGGAATACCATTAAGTGTTTGAAGAGAAGAGCTGAACAACAAAGGAGTCACAGTGAACGTCTCATCAAATAAAACAAACCTTGATTTGATATTCCCCTAACAAGGTCAAGCTGTGGCGACTAACCTCTAAAGAGGCATGCATCATTCTGTCCATCTGTTCCCAACTCATTACACACAACTTCAGATATGAGCTGCCACTTTGAAGCTTCAAATAGTCCCACTTTAATTTATCTGCAACCTGTCAGCATGGTGACCTCGTGCCGACTAACCTAAAATGGGTACATTTGTTTCCCTCAACTCTCACTGGAACGTAACGTCAACACATTAGTTTGGTGTTTGCTATTTGCCATGTCCTGCTGATGCGCTTTAACTGATGACTGACCACCTGAAACACCTTCAAGGGAATCACACTTCCACACAGTAACAAACCAAGCAAACTCAGATTGAACATTTCACATAATATTACGTGGCTGCTTTTCGCAAAACGTATGTCTGTTGACCACAAAAAGCTTCTGAGTACTTTGTTCCGATTAGGTAAAATACTTGTGACAGACTTCAGCCTGTTGTAGGTGTCTGACGGATGTATACAAAAGAAAGATATAGTTTGTTTGCTTGGCGCATCAAAGCGGCCGACTTATCACAACATTTATTATTGTGTTTCCGAATTGCCCACATCTTGAAATTAATTATAGAAAGCATATTTCAAACCAGCCTAAGAGCTACAAGCCAACGACAATAAAGACAATCAGACCTTTACAAAGGTCAGAAAGGAGACATAAGCAGTCGTTAAATATTCCAGGAGAACCTCTGCGACTGTCCGCTTGGCTTTTTCCAGAGATCAACTCAAGCAAGGCAGATTTATACGAAGTGATCACAATTCAGGATCTATGTTATCCTAAGGGACCAACACACTTAAAGCTCCTGTTAGCGCAAAACTAATGCTTGCCGCTGCCTCTCACAGACTACAGGATCAGGGACTAGACCTCGCTCGTCCAGGGCGTTGGCGAATGATGATGAGGAGCTTTGGGAACATCATTTTCTGTAATAAATTCCCGGTTTTCTATACAAACTGGTGCTCTATTTCTCTCCCTGTCTCTCTCCATCTGTGTGTGTGTGTGTGTGTGTGTGTGTGTGTGTGTGTGTGTGTGTGTGTGTGTGTGTGCAGTCTGGATAGACAGAAAACAGGACAGTCTAATCTCTAATTGACAGAAATCTAATAATGATGTTGACAGTCGTGCAAGCAGGAAGCAGAAGATGTGTGGGCTTAATAATTGCTGCCAAGCCCATTAACTTCTGTTACATATTGCAGCCCATAATTTGCACTCTAGTCTTTGCCTTCATGAAGTACATTAGATCGCTCACATTTTTTCCCACACAAGCCATAAACACATCAAACAAGATGACATTACAATTTGATAGAATGTGATACGAGGCTACCTCACAAGTAGTATATATAAATATATATAAACAAACCATTTATTTCATAGATATATGATGAAGATAGATAGAGAGATAAAGAAATAGTTAGAAACTCAAAGTTGTATTCTCAGCAATAGAATTGAAATAAAGCCGTTTAAGAGATTCTGTTAACTCGCCTGTATTGTTCCCCCTTCGACAGGTGATCGTGGAGGAGCCTCGGCGCGAGCCAGATGTTGTTTGAAATAAATCTGTCCGTCCGTTTAAGGCATAAAGTTGCTTCCACTGCAGAACTGCTCATTTCCACACGCGTCCAACTGCAAAACCACGGGAGACAGACAGGGAGAGAGAGGGAGGGAGGGAGGGAGGGAGGGAGGAAGGAGAGATCGTTGCATCCGCCCCTCCGTGCGCCACAGCAGCCCGCTGTGCTCCCGGATGTTCCTGGGCACCGCGTCAGGGCAGAAGTCCCCGGGACGCCGGTGGACAGGAGACTGCGGTGGACACTCGTGTCCCCGGGACGCCGGTGGACTGGACACTGCCGTGGACACTGGTGCGTTATGGTCGGGAGCGCGGATGCGACTCCGAAACTCGCGAAACTGAAAGCTTAAACCACTTTGAATCAGACTGCGTTGGAGAAAAAAAACATAGTCTGGGTCAAGGTGCGTGTGCGCGTGCTTGCGCTCAAAGCGGACTCCCAGTTACGGTCCCACAGCCGGAGAGAAAGAGACACACATCTGTATGTGCAGATATAGATTCATTCATTTTGGCGACTTGCGGGTGAGCAGGACATCCACCTTTAGTCGGACACCACCTGGTGGAAAAGGACGGTGTGGTCATAACTTTAAAGGGCAAAGGGAGGCTGTCACGAAGTTTCCACAGTGGAAAAAACAACGGATGTTTATAGACAGTGAATAAGGTGAAGATCCAATCGGAGCGGAATTGGGTCGTACTGAAGCCGTACTGTTCAAAAATCCCTATAGGGTGAACTATATTGTTTTAGTATCATATATTGGGATGTAGAACAAATGATGGGTAAATAATGAATAAGCAGTTCTACAGTGTACATTCATAAATTAATGAGCGTATATCTGCTCGCACTACTACATAATGTGTTGTAACCAGTGAACGGAATACTTAGTAATACTTAGTAAAACACACATAGACATGGATTATACTTAACCAATGTCGTCATGTGCATCTTGGTATTTTCATGAATGCATTTGTGGGGAAGTGGGCCCAAGGTATTCAACTTCCATACAACAGTTATATTTTTCATTGTGGTCAATGCGACGTGAATATGTTTTTATTTTAAGGAACCTAAATCGAAATAAATGTCCACAATTTTCCACAGGAGAAATTGTTTTCTGTTTCTTACTGTACATTATATCTCACATTCTTTCCTATTGCTTTAATCATTTCCCTCCCTGCACAAAGGTTCTTTTTTCAGCCTCGTCAGCTTTGCAGAAAAATCCTTTAATTCCGAATTTCCGTGTGTCAAAAGACATATTTTGGCATCAACTGCCAGGCTCCAACCGATCCCCGGAAGTTTGGTTAGAGTTATATAAGCACATGTCTGCTGCAGTAGCAAAAGAGCAGGTTTTGTAAAAGTCAGTGCTACACATCTTCTGGTTAGCATCACATTCATGCACTCACTTGTTAAAAAGGGGGGGGGGGGCACTTGTCAGAGGCCTTGGAGACAGACTACAATTTTCATTGGGACTATTGCTTCTGTATGAAGTGCTTTGCAGGTTTAAATATCATTGTAATACACTAAATTCAACACACTAAATTCAATTGACCTGCAGGAAATATTAGAAAATATTACAAAGACATCAGTCATAGTCATAAAACATAGTCTTTCTTTTTTCTCCAGGGAGACAATTCCAACTAACAAAGGCCTAATAGACAAGTCTTTCCAAGAAGACCACCTATATATATCTTGTAGGCGTAGTACACCATACATAATGCATGCTAATGATCTACTTTGTGCTGAACAAATGAGCCTGCCCTGTGATTGGTCAGACAGTGTCAATGTTTTTCCGGGGGAGGAGCTCAGGAGCTCCCATTTAATGCCAGAGAATAATCATTCAATAAGCAGGGTGGCTAATGACTCATGTTAGGTGGACTCGACAGACTTACTTTTTTTTTTTTTACATGCATGTATCTTAACTTAGTCTTGTTCAGACACACTGCAAATATGTGAGGGTGAAACACTGAGAGGACGAAGAGGAAGACCAGCGAGTGCTCAACATGGCTCAGGAGGTGAGTGATGCCGGGACACGAACAACACGCGGACAGTTTTTTTGTTTCTAATAACTCTGATTGTTATTGTTTTAGTTAAACAGTGAAGAAGGGGCCACGTTGGTCCCCCCCAAAAAAGCCTCCAGAGAGCCAATAAGTTCAATGACATCTGCGTCTTTTAATTTCATCAATTCCATAATAGGATCTGGAATAATAGGTAAATCCATTTCACAGTAACCATTTGATTATGTGCAATCGATTATATGAATGAATACTGTTCACTTACACATAACGTTGACATTATTCAGTTGAACAATGTAATGCGATTCTTTGTGCAACAAAGATCAGCTTTCATTATTCTCAAGCCCTGCAGTGGTAAACCCTCCGCATCATATGACTGCCGCCAGTTGACCCCCATTCTCCACTTTAACTCTTTCATCCTCAAAAAATGCCTGACTCCTTAAAAAAAAGCCCTCAGTCAAAAAACACAACAACAAAGCACCATCACCTCCGTTTTAAAGATTTGGTGGTTGCTTAACTGTAACATTTGTTGCTTAAAAATACCACGACAATTTTGGTTGCTGCTCTGTTAATGAATGCACTTATTTTTATGTATTTCTTTTTTTTTTGACAAGGCTTACCATATGCATTGAACCAGGCCGGACTCTCTTTGGGCCTTCTGCTGTTGGTAGTAGTTGGGTTCATTACAGGTGGGTGTCTGAAAGGTGTCATTTAGAAAAGCGATTGAGTCATGGATTTATGTAACGAGCCAACTATTTATATTATGTTTGCATTCAATGGCAGACTACTCCATCATCTTACTGATTAAAGGAGGCAACCTGACCGGGACGAGCAGTTATCAGTCACTGGTGCAGAGCACATTTGGTTTCCCTGGCTTTCTCATTTTATCTGTGCTGCAGTTTCTTTATCCTTTCATTGGTGAGTTTTTTAACGACTGCAATAATTCAAAGTTACATGTTTGACCTACCTGTACGTTTTAGTGTGTTCTAACAAACACTGAAGGTTCATTATTTATTCCATTCATATTGTTTATTTTCTAGTTGGGTCTAAATAATGCTACCGACACGAACACTAGAATGATGCTTCCGCTTTGCTTTCTTCCTCAGCCATGATTAGCTACAACATCACAATTGGTGACACGCTGACCAAAGTATTTCAGAGAATACCAGGAGGTAGAGTACGCTGCACGTAGTGCGTTCCTCCTCAGTAAATCTCACGTATTAACATATTCTGTGCATATCTATGAGATTGAAATATATGTATTGTGCCTACAGTTGGTCCAGATCACATACTTGCAGAGCGTCACTTTGTGATCTTGTTGTCAACCCTTCTATTCACACTGCCTCTTTCACTTTATCGAAACATAGAGAAACTCGGGAAGGTAAGTTTGATCATTTCACGGTTTTCCCTGTCCTTTTGATTTTAAAGACGCCTGTGAAAAATCTGTGTGTTACCAGGTGTCCTTCTTGTCAATGGTGCTGACATTTATCATCCTCGTCATTGTAATCATCAGAGCAGCTACCCTTGGACCCCAAATGTACGAATGAATACTCAGCAATGTGCTCGCTCATAGTGTTTACAATGGAAACGATTCCTCTGTGTGAACCACTGATAGCGTGTTTCTGTGTTCGTTGACGACTGAATGTCTCACTCTCTAGCCCCCCTACAGAGAACGCATGGGTATTTGCAAAGTGGAACGCAATTCAGGCCGTTGGTGTGATGTCTTTTGGTAAGTTTGTCTGCATGATGCCGATGAGTGACAATAAAAAAGTACCTGTTAAAAATTTTGTACAGAATCACAAGCCAAGATGGCTGCCAAACACATTTCAATGTTTGATCCCATAATTCAGAATGCTTGCACAAAGAAAGGCGTCCTATTCCCCTCACCCGGGAAAACGCACTGCTGTACACCTTAGATGGGTCAGTGCTTTATACACCAGCACAGAAGGGGTGATTTTCCATATTCAGGACAATATTTTACTAGGAATCCTTTTTCTAGTAATTCTCCCTGAAGCTCTGATCAAATCAATGCCACCAAAAACAAAGGCCTGAGAGAACACAATCCCCCCCATTCAGAGTGAGACGTGGTGTAATCTCCTGTCCAGAGTGACACGAGTTCACAAAGGCCTTTACACACATTGTGATGAAAGGAAAGTGCCTTGACAATAATAACTACTTCTGCTGTGGAGGAAGTCATTTAGTCGGGGAGTAAAGTGCTGTGTAACCCGAGTTAAGACGGGTGTTGTTGGTTGCGTCTCAGTCTTAAAGGGGACAGATATGGTCGGGTCACCATCAAATCCAATCTGAAGTCAGTAAAAAGGCCCTGCTAGGTCAGACAAGGTACCAAGTGTTATCAGAAATACTTGAGTTATTATTGAGTTATTGTATCTATGAGTCAATAGTGTGTCTATGTTCTGCCCATGTGTGTCTCTGCAGCTTTCATATGCCACCACAACAGCTTTCTCATCTACGGTTCTCTGGAGCGGCCAACACTTGCCAACTGGTCTCGGATCACGCACGTGTCCGTGGGCTCCGCGTTAGTCATCAGTGCGGCGTTCGCCGTTGCTGGCTATACCACCTTCACTGGCTACACACAAGGTAGCGGTATTAGGAAACAACAAACCAACACGCCTCTCCAGTCATTTCTTTTTATTAACGTAAATGTTTGTCTAAGATCTTGTATTTCCATCTCTTTTTCTTTAGGAGACGTGTTTCAGAACTACTGCAGAAATGACAACCTGGCAACATTTGGTCGCTTCTGTTTCGGCCTCAGCATTATAACCACATTTCCACTGGAGTGTTTTGTTGCACGGGAGGTAAGTAATCCTTTCTCGTACTCCGACCTAAGAATTTACCAGTTAAACGTTTACATGCGTTCGGGCCAGCGTCATTCTGAGGGTTTTACTCAAACGAACGAGGGGAAAGCTCGCCACTTCGCTCCCCATCGCTTTAGCACAGCCGCTCGGTCGGCGACAGCGTGTCAGCTGCGTCCCCAGCGCCTCCTCGTGAAAGACAAATGTGAGCATTAGAACCCCCCCCCTCTCTCCTGTTCATCTCCCCAGGTGTTATCCAAGGTGTTTTGCAGCCGGGATCTTTCGAACTTGGAACACGTGGCGATAACATTTCTCATAGTTGCAGTTGGCGCAGCGATATCTCTGGCCTACGACTGTCTGGGCGTCGTTTTGGAGCTCAACGTAAGCGGCGCATCCTCAGCCCCTCTGCACCCTTCCACGTTTACGCTAGTTTGTACGGGTTTTGCATTTGAATCTAATGGTGTTCTCTCCGGCCCTCCAGGGTGTTCTGTGCGCCACACCGCTGATCTTCATCCTCCCATCCGCGTGCTTCCTCAGACTCTCACCCGGACGCTGGTTCCACACAGAAAACTTGATACCCGCCATTTTGATATTGATTGGCCTGTTTGTGATGATTACCGGTTTGACCATGACGAGCCTCTACCCTCAGGACTGCTCACACGGCGTGGAGATGTTCTACTGTGCAGAGCCCAATGTCACTGCCAGTGTACCACCTGCATGAAACTCAGCAAATATTTCGTTCTCTTCAATTTTTCAACACTTTAGAGGGAAAATTTGGACATTGTCTTTTTGTTGGAGGGATTTTTTCAATGGTTTACAGCGAACGGAAGTGTAAAGATGGACATATAATGTTCACTTTTGTTTTTTCTGTTTCTACTTGAGCCATCCCTCCCCCACACACACACACACACACACACACCGTCCGCCTGAATCTCCCTGTATTGGACCTTTGTCTTAAACGCTGCATTCTAGAGCCTGATGCTTCAAGATGTGACCTAAGGCCAACCTTACATGGCACAAAAGAAGGGGAGCTAAATCGGAATTACTTGGTAAATAACATGTTTTCTTTTCTAGGTAGATCCACAAATAACTGACTGTGTTGTCTTATTTCACAGTTTGAGTGTGCGCTCCAGTTAACCCCTTCAATGTTGACGTCATGATAGTCTAGAAAAACATCATCATGTTCATATGAACGCGTTAACCTTAAACCAGGTCTTCCCGCCCAACACAAATGCCAGACTTCACTAATGTTCTGAAAGCAATTATATTATTGGCCACACTATTTACTATTCCACCCTCTACACAACCATCTCATACATCATTTATAGGAGCATTTTATAGGAGCATCTGGACTGTAATGTTGAGGTTTCTACATACGTGTTATCAAGATATTACACGTGAATGTGTTTCGTCTGTGGTTTGTCTTTGTTTTTTAATGAATTGTTGTATATTCATAATTCAGAACGGCACGCATCACTTCGAGGGGGAAACTGTTGTACCGATATTCAACCACACGGTGTCGCTGTAGACAACATAGCGTGTTTATTAAAAGGAAGCGCAAAAACAACAACTCCGATGTGTGTCGGTGCAGTTTATTCCAAGCCATGCGAAAGAAGGAGGTGTCGCCTGCGTGGTTTTCTTGTGGTTTGTGTTGTTGTTTTTTGTTTGTGTTGATTGCTTCGACCTGTAATGACAGGAAGGTGAATGCCAGCGCTTCGGCGGATCTGAGAGACGCCCCACTTTTACAGCCAAACGTGACCGTGTTTGAGTGCTTTGGATGTGCGGTCAGAACTTGGCACAGTTTGCGTTAGATGTGCCAGACTTCGCGCTTTAAAAGGGACGACGGGAGCAATTAAGCAGACCGGAGAGCTTTGTGTAAAACGCAAGAGAAGAACAAAAAACAACAACAACAAAAAAATCCGGAAAACTTCAGAGCGGAGCGATATGGATCATTTATCCAAACAAAATGTGTTAGTGGTGGAATTCAACTCATTTTCTATGTAAAAGACCGCGTGGAAAACCAACCGCACTCATGGTAAGACTCGGCACGTCGGTTCGCCTGAGCGTATTTCCAGAAGAAAAGATGGAAAAACGGTTCACATGACCGAAGAACCGATGACCTCATGTGGAATCGCCCATATTTCGGCATTTACCCGCTTGCATCACTTCACAGCCAGCAGGTAAGAGTGCGCTCTGCATCGCGGTCACTGTGTGCCGACTGATTCTGTACAAATGCATTGTGCCCTTTTCGTTTTTGGTCTTGTTTTGTTTCGACTAGTCGGGGCGATCCGGTGAAGCCGATGAGTTTAGTCATGGCCGATCGCGGCTCGCATCCCCTTCCACGGAGCTCGGGTCTGAGGTATGTACGATAAACCAGCTGACACAACTATGCGTTTTATCTATCGATGATGGACAAAAAAAACCATTGACCCACAAGGGACATGTGTCTCCTCCACCAGCCTGTTTCTACAGGGACATTTTAGAAACAATACCGCATCTGTATTTGAGCCATTTGAGCATTGTCCTCAAAGTGTTTTTTGGGGGGAATATAATTCTAAAACAGCTAAAGTACAACACATGTATTTGTCATTCCACCTATGACACCCTGAGGTGTCAATAAGTTCCAATGCCAACCGTGTCAAATAATGCAACTTTCCTTATGCGTTCTTCTCACTCGGTACATCTCTGTGAAGTAACAGTTGTTGCAGACTTTTCAACCTTTGACCTCTCCTCATTTCCTGCTCTCAGGGATGTACTGAGAAATTGCCTTGACCACATGTAGAGGTCATGGGAAGTATTTTTCGCAGGCGCAGCATTCTGACTCGCCGATGAGCCCGTTGATCGTATTTCTCGTGGGAAATCGTGCGTTCATTCGACTTGAAGCCGACATTCGATTTCAGAGAAAACGGTATTAAAGAGTGCCGTGAGTATATGACATGATGGAGTCACTTTTGGTTCAAGGACTTTGAGATGATGTCAGCTGCTTGAATTTCAGTGCCCTTAAATAAAAAAGAAGGGTTTTCCAGAGCAAGTCCCCACTCACTCCTGTTGAGTCTTTGGGATTTAAATGAAAGACTCGATAGGGGGACTGGAACATATGATAGTACCCTTATTTTTAAAATAGCCATATGCAAAGTTTCCAGTCCTTTTGTAGTTCCCTGTTTGTAAAAATATTCCGACACATCTTCATGTGTACTTTACGAAAAAATGAGAAAAAGCGTTGCTGTGGGAATTTATTTTTTTTTGTTCACAACCCTGTTGTAATCCAGGATCACACCCACCTTCCTTGGCAACGGGGAGCAGCAGACAACTGAAGTCTCTCCGTAGTTTGACATTTATTTGGAAAAGCAAACCGCACTCTTCTATAAGTTCCCGGGGGGGGGGGGGGGCACACATGTTCCCAGCCTTATTTGTGGCTTCTTATACTTGGAGCCAGTAAACTTGCTCCCTTTTTTTCAAATGCAGTCAGATGTGAAGACTTCATGTGACCCCCACCCCCCCACCCACCCCCTGCAAACCCCCCCAAGCTACGCTACATTTCCTTACCCAAATACTGATAGAATCGGTGGGCCGGCAGTTCTCCAGGCAGAGATGTCGCTAACGCACACGCGGGTCAGTCTTGAAAAAATTACTTTTCATTGCACTTGTTTTACTACGTTCTTTAGAGGAGTTTTCTTTCAATGCATTAACCGGAACATTTAACAAGAAATGTTTCTAAATCCCACCAATTCATGCTCACGTCTAAGACAGTGCTGCTTAAAGCTAATTGGACACACCTTAAACCATGATCTCACTATAGCTGTCTTTCCTCAGGGCAGAATGTGCGTTTGGTTAAGGTATCGTGAATCCCCACAGCTGTTTCCAGATATGCAGACAGTCCAAGGGCACAGCTGTTCTCATGAGCCTACAGATGAAAATCCTGGCCGGCCCAACGTAGACACTGGAAGTGGGCATGTCAAGTTAAAACATTTCTAACGTTTCACAACGAGGTCCTCCAAGTACACTAAAGCACAGAAGCAGCGCGTTCTCCTGAAGACGACAATAAGGCTTTCTTCATACAGGAAAATGCATCGTTTAGTCTACACATCGTGCTGCCTTCGGGGAGCCCACACTTCAGTGCTGCAAGAATAAAGGATGTCATTCAAGGATATCCACCCACTAAAGGCAATAAAGTGAGAGGAAAATAAGCATTAGTGCCCAGCAAGCTCGCCCCGTCAGTGAGCTGGAGTGTATTTGAATCCTTGGATATTTTATGGAAGCTTTTCTGCCTCACTGGGCTAAAAGAGACAATATGTCTGACGTCCGTGGGGACAGGGAATAATGGGGAGCCTTTGTTACCCCCCTAGTGCCAACGCACTGACCGTGAATACCAGCGAATGCCTCACAAGGGATTTAAAAATATTGTTTGTTGGTCGCTACGGTTCTTTTTCTTTTATTTCTCTTCTTATCTCCACAGCGGACATGATTATGTATTTAAGTAGTGTTGGTGTTGCACAGCAGCCCGTTTTTGGAATAGTTTTGCTTCGCAGATTTGGCCTGAAATTGAGCCGCGGGCCCGCTTTGTTTCTGTTACGCACTCTTCCAAGGCATAACAGTTGGAAGCCTCCCACACTCCGGCTGTGTGACATTCTGAGCGACCCGACATGAATCAGACCTTTGTGTGTTCTGAGTAGGAACTTTTGCTTATCTCCAATAACATTCGGACATGAAACGGGGCGAAGGAGCAAATTGCTTTCATTTTCTTGACCTCCATTATCAGCGTTTGGTTTGTTTTGGATGAGATATTTATAGAAAAGGGGCCGAGTCGGTCATGAATGGCGTTGTTTGAGTTTACTACAAGTCCGTCAAAACGGGACTTTGTTGAGCTGTCTGAAAATGATCCAACCAATGAAATAATGGCGAGTTCTGATGACATCATAACGTTGCACACCTGGAAATGGCGCTCTAGATGGCACTGTCACTATGCATACGGTCCTACTGTTGTATCAACCCAGGTGTTTGTGTGTATTGAAACGATGGCAATACGACATAATGGCACAATCTGATATTATGCAAATCTAACACCTGTTTGCATAACCTCACGCCACACGTTGATGTGATGAAACGTGTCATCATCTAACATGCATTCACGGCGCGATACACACAAACCGAGGCAGCGGTTTCAATTAGGATATTTGTATCTATTCAGCCTTTTATTTATAAAATGATAATCTCAGTGAGATTTTAAATCTCTTCATCACTGTGCATAAAACACAGACAACATTGAAAACGTTGCAAAGTGGAACGCAGTTAGTTCAAAACAACAGCAAGATGAAAATGTCCCATTAATGAGACGACAGCGTTCAAACACTGCTCACTTCAAGATGAGGGTCAGAAAACTTTAAAAGCGCTTTTACAGAGGGGACAAGCATTATTTACTCATAGTTTTGGCATCCGGGGGGGAAACATATTTACACCAATACAGAACGCAATGCAAGCAGAACTACTTTGTATGCGAGCTTTAGTGACTCTGCTTCAATTCCAGTTGTATTTCCGTATGTGCCATGACTGCTCCTGCTTTTCGTTATATTTGTGAGAGGTTGGTCCATGCAGTGAAGAGGAACTTTTTCTGAAGTGAATACAGGCCACTAATTCATTTCAGGAAGAAAGTTAAAGGAAATGTCACAACACGATTGTTGTTCTTGCCTTGAGGTTGAATGTGCGACTGGGTGTAACTCTCACACACTAAGATGGAATGAAGTTTGTGCAACAATGAATATTCTGTTTGCACTATTCGCAATGAAGAGAAGATACTAAAGGGGGGGCAGTTTCAGTGCGGTATTACTGTTTGCAGTCTCCCTTTTGGCTCATGTGATGAGCAGAAGAGGTAGAGCGTGCCGCTGGGCCTTTGGGACGATGTCCCAGTGCAGACAGTGGTGCCTTGTTTCACATGAAAGCATGCAGTGTGATAGTTATAATTATGACTCAATGGGGAGCTTTCCCTCTCACCAAGTGATTTTTTCGTACTTTAAAAGACCCAAATTTGACGTTGCCAGAAGCTACGGCGATAATTACCGTATCTCTTTTGTGCATATTACACGTATGTATGTTTATGATTATTTTTTGACAATCCCAGACAGATGTTGATTGAGTTAAAACAATTCGGAGCAACATTATGACTCAGTTGCTCAAGAAGAACGGGGTAAAACCCAAGCCACCCCCCTCTAAAGGATAGCCAGACAATCTGAATCATTCAGGTTTTTGGATAAGTCAGCGATATTCCCAGTCCCAGTCTGTTATATGAACAGTCCTTCCGCCTATATTTTTTTTTTATGGGTAAGTTATCAGGACCCCCGGAGAAAAACAACAGAATGCTTCCGGCATTCGGGGGGGGGGGGGGGGGGGGGTGATAATACTGAGGGAATCCCTTCAAACGGATATTACAAGCTAATAATGTCCGAGTTCTACATAATGATGTGAAAGACATGAGACGAGAGCGTGACCAGGCCGCTGCTGTGAGGGAAAAAAAGTTTTTTGTTTTGCCTGCAATAACAAGCAATACACATAGGAAGTGGGTTCTCATCGGGTCCCTGAGCTCCTTTTTTTTTCTAATCTTCTCCCTAATCTCCTTCCATCCCACACCGCTTCTGAAGTAACGGCCTTTCCAGAGCCTCTTTAAAAAGCTTGTGTTTACTGTGAGTGACCTCTCACCAAATTATTCAGCTGTGGCCCTGTGTTTTGTCTTTCCTCAGGGGAAAGAAACCCGGTCCTTTCCAAGCCCCTTCCGGCCCCTTCCGGCCCTCTTAATGTTGGACTCCCCCTTCTTGGTCCTCCTCCTTCCGGGTAACCTCCCCTTTCCCCCCCCCCCCCCGACCCCCTCCCTTATCGTCTGGTGGTGCTATTGGTTGCTTGTGTTTGTTAGAAAGGGCCGCACATTCTTAAGTGAAAGCTTCGGGCTCCTGATAACGCGCTGCCAATGAGCACTTGGAAAGTCTGAGTTATTGCTTCTGTACCAGTCGGTGTACAGTTGGCTTTGCGTTTTCATTTTTTTTTCGATCGAAAGCTTTTGGACTAAACGATAAGAACATCTCTGCCTAGAGTTGTTGAGTGCAATGCGCCGACAGTCTCTTTTGATGAAGTTCACCAGGAGGAGTTTTATATCGGAGGAAAAATAGTTAACGTATCCCAATCCGAATGTGAGCGAGTGCTGTTAGTTCATGCAGTTGTTTCCCCTTATTGTTTTCATTGCGTTCAACCGTCAAGCCTTCCACTGTAATTATTGGATGACTCAGTTCTGTAGAAGTAAGGTGTGGCTGTGAAAAGTTGCCAGTGTTGATCGACAAACAAAACAGAAACACGGGGGAAATACCGCATTGGACGGGGACGGGGGGGTGGGAGGGGAGACAGGGCTCTAGCCCTGTCCGTCTCGTCTTATCGTCTCACCTTGACCATCATGACGTATCATGAATAATGCATATTTTACCGTTGTTTTAAGTCCCTGAGGGGTGTTCCCGCTCCCCTGGCCCCGCCCACAGGTCCATGTCTGCACAGGGAGGCAAAGCTGCTTACCTTTGACCACGGGGGCGGGGGGTGCACTCGCACACTGTGAGCTCCCAGAGCCGCGGCGAGGGGTCAGCCGGGAGATTTCGGTAGAGGGGACAGGACCTGTGATGTCACAGCTATGGGGCGTGGCATAAAGGTAGGCCCCTTTTTGAAGCTGTGCTGATCGAGTCTAGTCCCGCCTGACTACTCGCGGGAGATGCACAGCGGAATGGGAACAGTTTGAGCTGAGACAACCTCAGGCGAAGAGGTAAGAGCCCGGAAGGAAATGTTTGCAAACTGAGGGGAGAAGCAGGTCTGCCACACCTGCTCTTGTCATTTCTGGTTATTTCAGTATCGCGTTTCCAGCACGGCAGAGCTCACTGTAAAAGTACTTTGACATGTTTTCTGTGCACCGAATGTTTTCCGTTCAGGAAGCTCACGGTTTGTGTTTTGACTCTAGGTGGAAGGTGTGTTGGGCCTGTTTCAGCGTGTTTCAGCTAGCTAGTAAATTGCTGCAGGTTAGCGTCCTGGGAGGGTTTCGCCATCGGCGCGTTGAAAGTCTTCCTCTTGTTTCTTCAAATCCCTTTGGGTGAAGTCAGGAAGTGTGACTGAGCAGAAGGTCCTGTTTGAGTCTTTGGCACAGCACCACCATTTCTGCTGCTGAAGTCCTGCTACCCAGCAGCTGGTAACCAACATACTGCAACAAGGTGTTTCTGCCAATCCTCCACCTCCCACGACCTGAAAGTTGAGTCAAATTCCTACCAATGCTTTGGCCTGGTTTCCTCTCTGGGCTGCTCCCACCTGCTCACCGCTACGTTTTGTCCGTGATATGCCTGAAGGGATTTTAACTGATAGGAAAGTGATTTCAACTGAACTGTTTTTGGTAAAAGTCATGCCAGCTGGAACAAGATGGAATGGAATGTATGGAATTTGGATATTCCCTCTTTCACCTGGTTGACAATGTTATGATATTTCTTTCGTTTTTAAGTGTTTTTTTTTACAAAAGGGCACATAGTTCCACCCTTTTGTCAAACTGTCTCTTTCTTCTATGTCCCTCTGGCATTTTAACACAGAAGCAACATCTGGATATTGGACATCTGTTTGAAGCATTCCCACATATTTCCATCACAAATCGATTCAGTTAAACCAAGACTATCTGTTCAACATAACATCCCAGCATGCAGTATATCCCGGTGCACATTTACTTTGGACTCCCATTTGTTTGCATTCATTTCGAAACATAACAAATGGCACAATGACAGCAGGCCTGTTCTTTCCAGGCCTGCTGTGATGATCACGTCTTTCAAGCATGTCCTGTGGGTTCGAATGGGCTTGTTTGTGAGTGTCAGGCCGCCAAGGGGAAACCCTGTGGATGAGGCATCAGCAGAGTCAAGCTTCAACACGTCTCTTCTCATTCAGCAGCTCCCTCTGCCTCCGAGACAAACCGGCCTGTGTGCTCGTGTCTGTCACCTGCTCGAGGTGTCTCCGTGAAATGGCTGATGAAACAGCTGCACAAACTGGGCTGACCCTGAGGCACGGCTTTTGTGTACTTTGGCCGTTCTAGCTTAGTTAAATGTTACATTGCAAAAAGTCACATTTGGGAATTTGAGAAATCACACGACAATTGCATCAGTTGGGCTCTTTAACTTGCAATGCTCCGTTTTAGGGTGAGAGTGTGAAATGTGTGTGAGAGGATAACATGTAGAAAGATTACAGTCCCTTTGCTAAATACACAACCGTGAAATGAGGACTTCGTACCCACCAGAGGTTATGCTGTGAATGTCTGTTTGGGGTTAGCGTGACATTGATGGTGAAGGCGGGTTCAACACTTACAGTGCTCCATCTGTTTATTACTATTAATCCAACAGTGCTTTCCCGACTTTCTCCTCTCCTCGCTGAACTGAGCAGTTGGGGTCAGAAGGTTTAAACGTTTGAGGATGACGAGTCATCAACTCTTTATTTCATCATGTCATCCAGATCAGTCACAACAACATTCATTTGAGATTTCATCCAAAGTCAACACGCTGAGGGACACAGACAGCCCTGGAAACAGGCGTATCAATAGCACCGGGGCTTTGAACGTCGTTATGCCCAACATGTCAGCATACAGACGCCTACTTGGCCTCGTGTTTTCGTTTATTTATTTTTTTACCGCATAAGTGCATTATTCACTTCTCACTCTCGTTGCTCGCCAGCAACCACTACCAACAGAAGCATGAGCTAAAAATGGTTAAAAGAAGAAGTTTCATGAGTTTCTGCTGAAGAAGGAAGTGATCGACATCAACCGCAATGAGTCCAAATCTGCTGGTCGAGGGGCAGAAGTGACCAAAACATTTATAGAGCCAGATATAGATATAAAACTACACTAAGTAACCCCCCCCCCCCCCATCCGCATAACAGAAACACATATCCGCATATGCACATCCATACTCTCACACTCAGTGACAACTCAATATTAACCAACTGATACGATATATTGTTCCATACATGACCAAAATACCCTTGAACCCTACCCTGTGCATGATAGTAGTCAGAGTACCATGTCATTGGCCCTCCTTACGTTGGTGTATTGGTGTCAGACATGTCACAGCTCATGATGCTACGAGGCCCTTTTCTGGACATTATTGGTTGAAAGATGTTTACCGGCAATATTCATATTCTCACTTTAAAAAAGGTTCCTCAGTTTAACAGACACCATCTGATCATTTGGATCTATTTTCAAAGTAGCCGGTAAGAAGTTACGAAGGGCTTCGCACGGACACAAAGGGATTAGGCTCCGTTTTGGGAAAGGCTGGTTTGCTAACAGAGAGCGGAGCAGTTGAACTCTCTTGCTTGATTCACTTTGCATTTGTTTCTTTTAATATATTTTTGTCAGGGGGGGCGTTCTGCCACACACCAGGAGAGAATCAACAACGTAAACAGTTCGCAGTATATCATTTTGTTTTCCTTGTTGATGTCTGTACGAGATCCCGTGTGCTTTATCATTCTGGCTGCTGGCACCATTATTATTAAAGATGACCAGAGAAATAAGTGTGTTTCTGGTGTCTCCCACGGCCCGTCCGGTCCTCCAGCTGTTTTGTCAAATCATTGTGCCAGTTGTCTGGCTAACTCCTTTTGTCAGATGAAATAGTACACATGGATTTTCAAAGATTGTCATGTAGTTGCTTCGGGTCCTCTTTGGGAAGACCACAGTTAGTCACAGCCGCAGTTTTATGTTGTTGTTGGAAGTTGTTAAACTTTGTGTGTGTGTGATGCATTGTCAGCTGCACACTACTGAGGGACCACAGAATAATCAGTAAATACGCTACAATATAAAAGGTACTTGTCTACATGGAAAGGGGATTGCCGTTAAGACAAAGAACAAGTTGCCATTAAAGTTCCCTGAGGAGTCCTGGAAAGCCTAAAACACACTAACTCTCTAAAGCCTACAATGAAACCCATGGATATATTTGTTTCCTTTCCTCTCTGCTCATTCATTCAGTCAGTATAAAATACAACACACCCCCTCTTTCTATAGGACTGTAAAGTACATGAATTACTTTAGTGTGAGCATGTATGAAAAAGGTCTGCTTTGTTGATCTTGTACCATAATTACCAAACTGAAAGCTCCATTGGGTGCAAATACCCGATCAAGCCCGACTAGCCTGATGTTTAAAACTACTGTAGAGCTGTCTGTGTTTCTTATTTATGTCACAGTCTGTCTTTAAGGACAGCCGCCCCCCATAGCAAGACTAATAATCCCTCGCTAGACGTGCCTCGGTGGAGCCTGTGACCTTGCATTGCTCGGATTCCTCTGTTTGTGCCCCCACCAGAGGCTTTGCAGGCTATAATTCAAGGCAGTGGGTCTGAAAATGCCTGATGTGTCCCTCTTCAGACCCAACGATGTGCCACTTGAGTGTCTCCAAAGGTGATCGATTCCTTGGCCCGCTGAACAACTTGTTAACATCCAGGCAGAACAGTTTGACCGAAGCTTTCTTTGTTTATCATACAATCTGCAGCCTTTCGTTTCAAGCAAACGGTAAAGTTCCTCAGAATTTCACAATGACTGCTCTGTTTGAATCAAGTCCTTCTTGTTTTGCTTATAGACATGCCTTTTTTATTATGCAGCGACATTAGAGCAGTGTGTCATTATTTCATGCGTCACTACGTATTCTTGACAAACGAATATAATATCTTGGGCTCTTTTCGTATCTCTCTCCTTTGTGTCGCATACCTGTTCCGTCTGTAACTCTCACACGATTGCGCTCTACTTCACCGTATTGACACAGTTTCCAGGAATGTTGACTCCAAAACGCCCTTCAAAATTACAAAGTGTACTGTATAGCGGGTCACGCTGGAAAATCACCCCAGCGCACCGAGTGATGTTCACTAAAGCTCGAGAGTGTTTCCTCCAGCTTCTGAAGATCATGCACTGCATAATAAATCACTTTGAATACAAAACCCGGTCAACAGTTTAGAAAACTCTTATCTCCTTATCTCTCACATGGCTGTCCAGTCACAGCCATCTCTTCAGGCCCAATCTGTCCATTGCGTTGTCTTGTGACTTGTTTGCAAAGAGGACTCCCACATGTAAGAGCCTCACTGGGGAAACCTGATGAAGAAAGGATTCCTTTCATGCTCGCTGCTGCACTTTGACTTTCAATCAGAGAATTGTCTGAGATAGAAAAGGCAATTACAAAAACATAAAGAAAGAAAAACACACGTACGTGAGTGAAAAAACAATCCTAGTCATTTTAAAACTATAGTTTTTTTTAGAAATGACGAAGCAACTCTGAGAAGAAATTTAAACTCTTTTGTCCAACTACAGGGTGTCGACCAAAAGCAAAGCACCAACCCCGCCAGGACTGAAAAACCTGGACTCGCCGGGTCTCTGCCAGTGGTACCCAGGAACCCTTCATTTGACCATGGAACAGAAGGAGAACCTCATTGATACCGACCTCTCGCTGGTCGTGGTTCTGCCCGGCGGGGTAGAAGAAGTGACCACGGTCCATGGAAGGTACAGTTTGAACACTCAATATTAAAGCTAAAGACAACGTCAGGATATCCGAGTCATCCCACCAAGTGCAGTTGCAGTCACTGAGCAAATGAATGTTGATATTTGTCCGAGGAATATAATGTATTGCATTTCTTCATTTGTATCTTTGCACCAAATGATGTAAAGGTTAAAATATCTTGTTCGTCTCAACTTCCGAATACCATCTCTTGATTGCGTTACTACATGGTGCAATGAGAACACACAAATCTCCCCCCCTTTGCATCTTGAGCTAGCTCTGCAAAACCTACAGGTCAACGTCCCAAAATACCAGTACGGCAACGAGTCTGCTCACACGCAGTTCAGACGTTCCATCAACAGTTTACTCAAGATATCATTATCTTTCTCAGTGTTCTTTTCTGGGTGTCTTTTGCACCTTGGCCTCTAAAAGACTGAGACCAATCCAAAATGAAAGGATTAAGCGCTGGATTCTTCACCTTCTTTTCCTCCTCTAAACCCTCCCTCTCTCAGTGCCTTCACAACGGAGTGAACACTTGGTTTTAAGGATTTAGTTTAAGTTCAAACTTTATTATCAGTGTCAGGAAAGCTCCATGCGACTACTGTTGCTACTGTAAGTTCCTGTACATTTTCTCTTGTTCAAAACATTCTGCGCTCATTCTGATTCCCTGTGAGCAACACGAGGTGCATTGATTAGTCAATGAATCTAGTAATGGTGTCAGCTCATATATTTTACTTTATTTAAAAATGTCTTTGACCATAATGTCACTCAACCAGATTCCATCTCACAACCTTCCCTTCTACGCCCCAACAGCTTATTTCAGGAATTGCTAATCGTGTCCTCATGGTCTTTCAGCAAACCCCTGATGGATCTATTGGTGACGCTTTGTGCAAAGTATCACCTCAACCCATCAAGCCACACCTTAGAACTGGTCACCGGCAACAAGAACAAGACCAAACTCAAGCCCAACGCTCTCATAGGAACACTGGATGCAGAGAAGATCATACTTAAACCCAAAGGGGAGGACAGGAACAAGAAGACAGGTCCTCAGATGCCTGAGGTACGTTAGAGTCCTGACGCCGTGTTGCGGTAAACGCCAATGGTTTGCCGTTCATAGTGAGTTCGCGGATTTGATTTTGAAGTTTTTCATTCCGTAGGCAACCGTTCGGATGGTGATAAACTACAAACAGACCCAGAAAACGATCCTACGCGTTAACCCTCGCATTCCCCTGGCTGAACACCTACCGGCCATCTGTGAGAAATGTGAATTTGACATTGAGACTACGGTTCTGTGGAGAGATGTTCAATCACTGGCCCCTTTGGACTTGTCCAACTCTCTAAACGATTATGCAATAAGGGAAGTTTATGCAAGAGACACTAAAGGTAAATACTGAGATGTGATTTGCTGCATTTGGCATGATGTAGCTCACTTGTTATGTGCTAAGTCTATTGCTTGCTGGCTTTGCAGGACAACCGTCTTTCCCAGTGTGTCCAGCCTCACCTACGCTTGGAGGTACTTCACTTTTCACTTTGTGAACCATATCGTTGATATCAACACAACCAATGTTCTCTTACAACCGTTTTTTTTTTCAGGGGCAGTGATGCCAGGCAAAGATAAAAATCAGAAAGAGAAAGAAAACAAAGGGCTCTTCAGCAAGTTTAGAAAAAGCAAGAAGAAATCCGACCAGGTAATCGAAATAAAACAACTACATAGCTGTACCACAGAGCGACTTTAAATGTTCAGAGGGAGGTTTGTTGACTTTGGTTTGCCATTGGCTGACTTGCACCATGTTGTTTTGGGACCAGGCCGCTTATCATGTTCTGATTGGATGTTTATTCTTTAAAGGCAACCACGGCCAGTGCCCCGGCGTCTCCCGTGCTGGTGAGCAAGCCTCGACCTCTCAGCATGGCCTTACCTAGCTCCAATTCGTCTCCGTTCAGCTTGCCTACGCTATCCACCGACGTGCCCAAGAAGAGACGTGCACCCCCACCCCCTATCGTGGTGTCCCAGAGCTGCCCGTCGGAACTCGGCGCTCGCCGGCGGCTTAACTCGGAGCCTACTGCCCAACTCGACAGTGACCAGGTGGGTGAATATTAACACGGAAGCTGTGCGTACCTGCGTCCAGGTACATTGATTATCCAACTCATTTAAATGATCCATATGCACCTCAGATGGCCGGTTTGAGTCGCGGGTCCTCAGCGGAGTCGTCGTTAAAGAGAACCAAACGCAAGGCACCTCCACCGCCCACGTCTCCTAGTGCCGTTGTCCAAGAAGCGGTTCATCTGGACGAAAGTTTGCAAGGTTTGCCTTTTGTTCACATGTATTGGTTTTCACGATTATTCATTGGGACAGCTACGGTTTCCATGAAAGCATTCATTTAGATAGTTTCACTGTTGATCCCACAGTCCCTGTACTGTGCTTATTTGTCCTGTGTCCTTTGGCCTCAAAGACAAAGACTTTCGACTTTGCAGTCCGAGACTGCATTTCTATGACTGTAGTGCCGCCTAGTGGTCATTGTTTAACAGTGGCTCTTTTGAAAAACAGCCCCATGACATGGATCGTGGGAAGTAAATGGTGGTTATTAATCGAAATAGTTTTTATGATACATCATAGTACCCTATTTCATTAGTCCTTGACTACCTCTGCTTTTTTCTGGTCTCTATCTACCTCATTTTATCTTTTACATGTTATGCACGGTTCATGTTTAGTTAGAAATCAAGTCTCCTATTCAGTTACCTGTGAATTATTATTTTTTTAAATCATAACCACAAATGTATGATGACAAAACATGCAGTAATTTTGACTACATTCCCAATTGTTGTAAGTTAAGGAGGAGAATAATTAACTTGCTTCACTTACTTTCCTGTGATTGTGTGGACACATCAACCCCCCCCCTGAAATGTCCTTTGAGGGTTGCTCCACCCGTCCTGTATACAAAGTAATTGAAAAGAAAAAACAAAGAATATCCCAAAAGATATATTAAGACTTACAGCCTGGAAAATGAGATTGTATCTTTTATTTAGTTTCTTTTATAGATCATTGATCTGTGAAAAAAACAATTTTTTCACATTCGTTTGATAGAGGTTATACATTTAGTTGTGGTCTTATTTTCTGATGCTTTAACGTCTCTGCCGCCACACTCTTACATCAGAGGTCCGTGAATGTTTTGGCGCTCACAGTATGGACATTTCATAAGTATAATATTATCCAATGTGGACAATCCACAGTAGAACAATTCTGTACAGAAAAGTTGTGGTCACAATGCAATGCAGTGCAACACATCTGTGGAGTTTAACTAGTTTTAGCACCACAAGCAAAACTCGCTTCACTCCAAGTGTATTTTTCAATTTGACATTTCAAAATCTAGTGTCTTGTATATTCAACAAAGTATAACTTTTGCATTTTTCCTCTTATATTACGGTCGCTTTATATTTCCTTCTTTCATCTTCTATTTTTCTTTGTACATATTTACTTTTACAAAATCTCACAACTCCTTAGTCCCTCGACTAATCTCCCAGACCTCATCAATAGTGCATTCATCAACATTTTTACTACTGCTATCTACTTGTATACACAACCATTTCCGTCCTCCCACTTTTAAAACACTTAGGTTCCCAGAGTAAGATCATTTCCTCCTCTGTTTCCCCGACAGCCCATTGCTGCCAGCAGATAAAGAGATCAGAGGCTGAGATCAGTGAGGATCAGGAGTTTAGTTTGAGGAGCATTTAAATTCCGTTTGCTCTCTGCTCCTCTGTCATGTGCTTCCTTTGAGTGCTAAATGAAGACATAAAAGATGATTTAATCAGGGCAACATTTCTTTTCTTGGAACAATGGAAGTGTGTCTGTTTATGAACACTGAAATAAATACAGTTGGACACTTGTATTGCTCTGCCTGTATTGACAAAAACAATAACATAAAAGAAGGACTTATAAACCTTTTTTTTTTCAAATTGTGTGAAAGATTGTTGGATATACTGCCATCACACGTCATCTGAATTAATTTTATTGTTGGATGCACCACTACTTTAATGAGATTCCCCACTGGGGATTAATAAAGTTTCCCAATCTAATCAGCCAGCATTTTACTTACATTGCCAGGTAAATGTGATGGGGTTTTTTCACGTGTCTCCTTTATGATGATTTTTTACAGGGGTGACGGCTGTTAACACACTGGAGGAGATTATGGAACAAGAGGAGACCACCGTTTCACTAAAGGCCAGCGATACTCTGGGAGAGGCCTGCAGCCTCAACACGTCTGCTGCTGGTGTTTCGTTGCATTCCCCCTCGCCACATACCGAGATACTGGCCACGATGTCCATGGAGAGCAATGGGGAAGATCAGTCTGGTGATCTGTCCTCAGATGGCGAGTACGAACTCCAGTATTTCTTCTCCACCCTCAGCCATGTTTTAACATTAATTTGAACAGTGCTTTTAATTACTTCTGTTTGCTTAACTTTCACAGTCCACTGCAGAGCACAGTGAATGATTCATTAACTGTGAGTGATGTGGGAACAACTGATGACACCGATGCATCTCAAGTGGCCGATACCAGTGGGTTTACGCTTGTTTTTCATTGGTATTGTTCATATGTCTGGTGGATATCTTGCACCTTCTAATTTCATTATATCTTCTTACAGATAGCGGTTCGGGTCCAGTTGGAAATGTGAGCCAACACCCGATGTGTGAAGAAGAGTCAACAAGCCAAAGTGTCCGGGGTGACTGCAGCACCGTAGCCAGCGTCCCCCCCCCGCTTGCGATGCAGGATGCAGAAGCGCCGGCGTGTCTCCACACCGTAACCCCCTGGGGGCAGACAGACGGGTCGGAGAGCCCCGCTGGAGGGCATGCTGAAGTGCAAACTGATTACCCCCCACCACCACCACCACCACCTGTGTCCCCACCACCACCACCACCTGTGTCCCCACAACAACACCTAGGACAAGTCCCTTCCTCCGTTAATTCACCTGCCTTTGAGTCAATGGCAAAGCAAGATATGGCCGCTGTGATGCATGAAGAGGACTCGCCCAATCTCAAGCAGGCCTTGTCCCTCACCTCGGAGACCATATCGTGCCAAGACTCAACGCCAAGTATTCCTGCCACAACAAAGGCGCCATCTATTTACGCCACAAACTCTGAGCCAAAGCCCAAGCCTTCCAACGAGCTAACAAGGGACTACGTTCCCAAGGTGGGGATGACGACGTATACCATCGTGCCTCAGAAGTCTCTCGAGAAGCTGAGATATTTTGAAGTTGCCTTGACACTGGAGCCGCCTCCCGAAGCTCCGGAAGGGGGGCCGCACGGCGAGTCCCTTCAGCTGGAGGAGAGCACAGCGCCGGGGGAACAGACGGAAGTCTCACAAGAAAAAAGTGAGCCGCGATCTGCTACAGAGTTACTGACGAGCACCGCTACTACCCAAGACACCGTTAATGGAAGTGTAGCTGAATTCATTCATTCCTCGTCACCAACAGCACTACTGCAAACAGGTGACAGTGTAGTATCGTCTGCTAATGGGGCATCTCAAGCAGGTTCACCAGCAGAAGTCAAAGAGATGAAAATTCCACCTGCAACTAAACCTAAACCCGGTTCTTTCCGCTTGGCACAGCAGAAAAAACCACCTGGGTATTATGTAACCTCAGCAGCGGAAAAGAATGTCGGCGCCGGTCCTCGGCCCGGCCAGAAGGAGTCTCAAAGAAGTGCGGGGAGAGCAAAGTTACCACCCCCTCCGTTTCCGCCTCATGTGCAGTGTGGAGTGGAGACAACGGGGGCCTCTAATGTTGAGCTGAGCCCTAAGGGGAATGATAAGAATGTAGCAACCATGCGAATGACCAGGCAGAGTAGTTTGCCATCTAAAGAACCAAGCACAGGGTTAAGCTTGGAGAAATTAAGGAGCTTTGCAGCCCCGAGGCCCTATTCCCCTGCAACCCCATCCCGCTTCGCCCAGGCGGTGTCCTCTGCTGTAAGAAGGAGCCAGTCCTTTTCCCGCGGGCCAACGTCGCCCAACTTGCCTGCTTCCCCACCCTTCTCCGCGACTCGCTCTCCAGTCACAGAGTCGGACGGACTGTCTCCGTTCGAGGTAAAGATCATTCGCTTTCATTCATTATACACATAAATGAATAAATAATAAGACTATAACCTGCATTCCTGTGCTGAAAAGGTACTTCTCTTTAAAAATGAGGGCATCATGGGCATTAGTAAAATTATTTTATTTTATTTATTTATTTTTATTATTTATTATTTTTTCTGTGACACATGTTTACCTGGAGAAATGATGTATTCGCTTTTGCTAAACCCAACATAGTTGTTTTATTGGCGCTTGCTCTAATGGATCCTTCTTTATGTCGACTGTCACAGTAAGTCTTCATTGATCACATGCATTGTGTCTCTCTTTAACACCACAGGATGGCAAAAAGAAAGCGGTGGATGCTGACAAAGGCTCCACTCCCACAGCTGGTAGAGGTGGAACTGGCCTCTTTTTATTGAGATTGCTCATATAGAAGGAAAGAGCAGTCCATAGCAGTGCCTTGATTCTTCTGACAATAGACCAGCTACTGTAAGCAAATCATATACACAGATTGTAATATGATATAATAATGTTTCCACAACACACGCATGAACCGGTACTTTTGTTTCTTTCAGGAGGAGCTTATCCTGTCTGCTTTGAGTTTTCCAGAAACCTTCAATCCATGACGCAGACGCAGGGACTTGTTGTACTTTTTTGGGTAGTCCCCAACAATGTAAATTATGTATTTTGATCATTAATAATTGTATTTTGGTTTAATATCCCTTGCTCTGACCTGCATATTTGAATGCTTCAGTTTTATTTTGTGTGATGAACATTTAGCATTTAATGCAAGACTGTTATGTGTGTTTATTAAATGAGAACAATTCTATAAATTATTAGGAAATCTATTATCTAAATAATACTGGATTTATAAGATTGACCATGTCCAACCGATGGTTCTTAAATGCTTAGACTATATATAAAATCTATATTTAAGTTTTACGGTGTTTTGATTAAGCGATATCCAGAAATACACTGATGTGCACAGCGCACATTATTCTGTCAAGTTGATATGAATAAAGATTTTATTTCCGATGTCTTTATTAAAGTCGTTGCCCTCACTAAGTGTTCAAATGTTGTCGTTTTTACCTTTTAATCTCACATCCCTTCAAACACCCCCCTGTTATTCGCAACAGGTAAAACGTGCTTACGGTGCGTGTGACGTAGGGCACGTTGCAGTAAGCGCACCTGTGCTGCACGTGCGAACGGTGCGATTCAACGCACACGGGAGCAACTATGTGAATGAGCACCAGCTTGCAAGGTTTCAATTGGGAACTAAAAGTTTTAAGGGGCACAAGGTAAGAGCCGCTTTGAAAAATACATTTATAAAAAATAAAAAAATGAAACGGCCACGTTTGAGAACTTGTAACGTTGAGTCCGTGACGTTAATTAGTCGGTTCGAGCTCGTGCAGAGGGAGCAGGAAGGACTGCGACGCATTCCTTTTGCTCCATGTCATTTCGGCTTATTTTTCCGTTGTAGTTTAGTATGTTTACCTCCGCCTCAACAATATTATCGTGTTACGTAAATGAGTCACTTCTGAAGAATCTCACCGAATGTAATGCGTTGGAAATAATTAGGCACCGCGACTGTAGGAAACAACGTCGCGTTCCCCGACTTTTAACATTCCTCAAACCAAGCAACGATAAGCAAATAGTTGTTATCACGTCCTCCCTCGCGTCCTCCCTCCATGCACATTTCCCTCGATGTATAACATAGATTCATAAATCTAAAACTAATTGAATTTCAGCATTGTCCAACCGTCCTCCATTATTCATATTAAATACCGCATGCTCGCAACATATCACACTGTAATAGCGTCGACCTAAGTGTTGAATTCGACACCGCCAGTGTTCATAATAGAACGCCCATTCACCTTCTCTGCGTGCACAATTTATTCACCCCGTAGCCTACTTGTAAAATGGTATCCGCCGCCAGTTGCAAAGACGAAAAAAAAGGTATTTGAATGGCATTGACTTGACCTCGTTCCAGCAGCGTTTCCCGTGTTCCTCCAGCAAGTCCGTGACCGGAGGGCATCGTGCCCTTCGGCGGGATACGTCATTAGAAAGAGAATTGTTGGGCTTTTATATAAGAGGTCGTGTCCCCAATGGGCCCCCCCACTTCAAAACAACTACTCTTCTCCAAACAGGAAGGGAGAAATAAAACAAAAAAACCCTGTATTGCATCGGCTCCTCCACAACTTTTACAATTTGTCAGAAATGATGCAATGAATTCAAATGAGAAATGGCAGCAATTCCTCACGCACTGTAATAATGGCCGCGGTGAGAAGTGACACGACCATTGCTGTCTCACATTATGAATGGGCTACTGTGGCTTTTGTCAGCAAAGAAGCTGCTGCAGCGCAAGTGTTAATCCAACCACCGTCTCTGCAGTTTCCAACAGCTGCCATGCATCACTCCGTTGCATTCCACATAAGCCAACCGTGCAAATGTAGTAACCTTTCCATTTCACTAGATGGACAGGGTGCATGGAGTCGGGCGGGACAGCTGGAGCTTGACTTGAGCTCATGGTGTTTGTGGACAATTATGTCTGAATTTTACAGCTCAAGATTGACTCCCGGAACCATGGCAACCGATATTTCACTCTCGAAGCCACCGAGACAGTGTCGACATTTCAACCATTCCTATCACCCATAACGTCCATAGACGTAGAGGAGTCCAACAGTTGACAAAGGTAGATTCCGAGGGAGATAGATGGTGTCTCTGGAGCACTCTGGAGATTTACACTGTTCGTGTGGTGGAGGCCGGTTATGCAACGTCTGCCATAACTTGGCCTTTGGCAGGCAAAGTGGTTCATGTTCCTCGCATCTCACCTCTTTAGCTGAAACAAAGGTCTTACTTGTTGCAGCAGTGATAGGGACACACCCATAAACCCTCAGGTTGTTCGCCACCATTATGATTAACAAGGTGGAATATCCAGTTTCCACCAGCTCCTTGTCCATGCTCAGGGGCGTCCTTCAAGACCGCACACGAGTGATTAGGCATGGATGAGTTGCTGCCCTACATTTCTTGTCTTTAAAACAATAAATCTAAACCGTATTTCAGAGCAATATGGTATGCTGTCCTTACTGTAAACACCTTGCAAACCAGACAATCAGCACTCTGGCGGGGCGGCTGACGAAGCGAGGTTCCTCTTGGTGCTGCGGCACCGACCGCAGAGCTGATCAGAGCAATTGGTCTGTCAATGATGTCATGTTTGGAACTAACCAAAAATACACAGAGGCCAACCCTTCACCTGTCATTCTATGTCAAACAGGGTGGAATCCACACACAATCTGTGGAACAAAGTACAAACTGCTTTGACTTAATGATGATTGCATAAGTTTTTTACCAAAAAATGAACATATCGAAAGAAGAAAACCAAAACCGAAATGCATTAAACAGCAAAATAAGTAAATTGCAAGTAAATGATGGTGTGTGGAAAAGGACATTAATAAAAGGGAATGTAGTAACTAATGCCGTAAAACCACTACAACAAGTAAACGTTTGTGTTTGTCAGTAAGTGGGTCAGGTTTTTCTAAGCAGTACCTCTTTGTGCAAACTTTTTTTTTTCAAAACTTTCTTGACAGTTCCTTGAAACCCTATTATTAAGTTCCTGAAATAGATTTGCCGTTTATCGTACACCAATGTAATTAGCATTTGCATTGACTGATACCAAAAGAATGTGTTCCATGCTATGGGTTATTTCTGGCCCCTCTCATGCTGCCTGGGGTTTCGTGTCCTTGTATCAGTCTAGCAATTTACCAGTGAATTTGTTTTCCTTTTGAGAATACAGCTAACCACACTCAAGATACGTATTCAGGAGGATGAAATTCATCAGATGTAGATGCAGAACATACTTACTGTTTCCTTATTTATTAATTCTGAAGGTAAAAACCACTTCAAACACTGCTTCAAACAGTATTTACCAAAGTATAATCAAGTTAGCCTTGCCTTCTGCTTTAACCCCCCGCTGCCTGCTGGTGTGTATCTCCAGTAGCCGGTCCTCCCTCCCTCCCTTAGACCCTGTTACACATTACCTTTCAGAAAGATGTTATCATCCCAACCTTCCCCCACATGGAGCCTGTCACTGCATGACACAGCCCACAACACAACCAATCCGCTCTGCTGGCTACTCCGCACAACCACATGTGTTCTACAATGCACAGTTTAAAGTGCAAACTCCATGACAAAAGTTTTATATTACTGGTGGAGCTAAAGACACCCCCTTTTGTGTTTGTGTGCTTTGTATCAACATTTGCTACTTCCAGCTTGCAGAGGTAACAAACAAAGGTTGGGAAATGAAAGCATGAATATTAACAAAAGATAGAAGGGAAATTAGATTTATTTGCACACCAGGGTTTCAGGGCAGGCACGGCGGTTTTGGGAGTCATTGTGTTAAAAATATCTTTATTGTGGTGGATCATGTTTGGGTAGGAGGGATCCTTTTGCCCCACTGGGCCAGCCTCGTGGGCAGCAGATGAGCCGGAGAGACTGAGTGTGTGTGTGTGTGTGTGTGTGTGTGTGCTCTACTGAGCCATAAGCAGAGGAGCCCGGCCAGCACAGCTCGGTCTAACTGCTCTGCACGCTCCAGTCTAACGGCTCGTCTCTTCTCTCTGCTGCAGATGATGTCTGGGATTTAGCCGGCCCACATGAGTGATATGAATAACGCACTGGACGGAATACACACTTCTGGAAGCCTCAGAGAGAAAGCAGAGATTTTTCGGAGTGGTAAGGATAATGCGAGTGGCTTTCCCAGCCCATCCCTCATCCCTTCGAGAGCTCTTTCACCAAAACCAAATGCCCAGAAGATCCGGACTGCGATCAGCAAGGGGAACAGGTTCGACTCATTCCTCTTTGCGCATGCCATGTATGACTCACTTAAAAATGTATTCTGTTGCGCTAAAACTAAAAGTACTGTTTCGTTGTCACTTAACAGCGTTAGCGGCCCCGCAGAGGAATAGTACACTCTTTGTATTTGCAGGAATGAGACACAAGCGTATGTTGGAAAGCTGTAGGGTAGACTTTGTACCTGTAAACACAATAAGCTTGAGCCAAACGCAGCTGCCAATGGAGTGTAATGTTTTATTTCAACAGCGCAGTTAAAGACCTGGAATCAAATCAAGCACCTGTTAGTTTGTGGTAGATAATTAGTAACTCAGTAACTTAGATTTACAGAGCAGGAGAGAAAGTGTCAGTCAGATATCAGCCATTTAGAAACCGAGGCCTTGTGCTGAAAGCTAACTAACGGTTTTATCTTATCGTAATGACAATTGAATTTGGTATTGTAGGTGACCTTTTCCGATTGATTCAGATGTTAGACCAAGGCTTATTTTAAGATTAAGGAACACAATTTTCCTTTCATGAGTGGCAAACTATTCTCCTTACTTTTTTGTCTTAATATCAGTGGAAAGTATTTCTTGATTTTCCTTTTCATTGTAATATGGCTTACTTTCCTCTAGCAGCCAGTTTGAGCACTTTTCTTCCGTGGCTGCTATTTGCTACATCAGGGGCCTTAAGGAGCTTTATCTTATCAAAAGCCTGACTATTGGTGAGGCGTGTCGGTAGTTGAGAGCAGGAGGAGTCAATGCCGAGACGTTCTTGTGTGTGTGTGTGTATGTGTGTGTATCAGCTGCTTCATTTATTCTCCGCATTCATCTACGTGGGACGTGTGCAACAGAGAAGCCAGCGATATGTTGTAACAGCTCTCTGAGCCACTGGTTGCAAAATCAGTCAAGCATGAAGTCTAATGCACCATAATGACTTTACAGTCCGGACGGACTGACTATTGCAAATGCGTGCCTCAATTTTACACAACTCAATGATCAGCATGACTTACTTGGCACTTTCTAAAAAACTATGGAATCTCCTGTATTTTGAAATAAGCTGTGAACAATACTTGCCACATTTTATGCAGCATCTTCTTTGTCCTTTTGACTCCTTTTTTTTTTTTTGGGATCCTTCAGGAGCCCTCAAGAGGGAGAGGAGTCATTTGCTTCCGTTCCCAACCCTCTCCCTGAGCTTATCCCGTCAACCCTCTCCCCCCACGTGTCTGAATGTTTAT